AAATGTTGTTGCTGTTAAGGTTGAGGATATAAACATTTTTGCTTTTTATATTGCACACCCACACATTAGTCATTTACAGTCAATTAAAAACTTTTTAAATACTGTTAGGGGCCCAGTACTAGTAATGGGTGATTTTAATTGTCATCATTACAGATGGGGTTCAGACATGTGTGACAGTATAGGCACAGAATTATTAGAGATCATAGACGAGCTTAATCTATGTATCATAAATGATGGCAGTGCTACACGAAGGTCTGCATTTGGCCAAAGGAACAGCTGCGTCGACTTGACCTTTTGTTCTCCTAACATAGCTAGCATGCTGGACTGGAGGCGCTTGGATCTGTTCCTATGGTAGTGATCACTATCCCATCATAGTTACAAACCACTCCATTCCCACCCTTGATAAATTCCTCCCTCCATTATTAAAATACCGCTTAGAATCAGCGGACTGGGATCTTTATTCCAAACTGCTAGATTTCCGTATCTCCTCCCTTCCACATATCCATGCTGGGAACGCTCCAGAATGCTTCTCCGGCTTCTCGGAAACAATATCTACCACAGCTGCAGATTGTTTCCCAACCAAAAATCCGCCGAAAGGCAAAATTCCTCTCCCGCCGTGGTGGGATAGTGACTGCACTGCCGTGATTAGGGCCAGGAATGAAGCTGAAAAGACGTATAACCGTGACATGAGCCTGGGTAATCTCATATCTTTCAAGCAAATATTGGCAAGGTCAAGGAAACTACTGAAAAAAAGAAACGACAAGGCTGGCGAAAATTTTGCAGTGCCTTGAATCCATCGACTCCAATAACCACTGTCTGGCGAAAGTCAAAAGTTTCAGAAACTCCACAAGACCACCTTCTGTTCCCATGTTACCAGAAAATCTGTGCCACCGTTTCTTTTCAAGCGTTGCTCCCACATATGTCCCTGGAGAGGAAGAGTGCGAATTAGGGAACTTAACACGGACTCGTGATCCTCTTGACGTAGCGTTCTCTATAGAAGAACTTGAAACAGTTCTGAACCATGTCAAGGACTCTGCTCCTGGAATAGATGGTTTCCCGTACTCATTTTTGACTAAAAGTGGAGCAAAAACACGGCGGTACTACCTTGACTTGGCCAATTTTTGTTTCACTTCCGGTTACATTCCCACAGCATGGAAGGTTCAGGTTATTATGCCTCTACTGAAACCTGGCAAAGACTCTAGTGATCACTTGTCTTATAGACCGATTGCACTGTCGTCCATACTCCTCAAAGTATTTGAACATTTAATAAAGAACCGTTTAGAGTGGTTGGTGGAGAGCCGGGAGCTGCTTCCGGCGACTCAGTTCGGCTTTAGAAAAGGTCTGGGCACCGTTGATAGTGTGGGTACCCTCACTTCAGCGATACGGCTGGCTCTTTGCAGGGATGAGTCGTTGGTGGCCGTCTTCCTGGATATCTCATCAGCCTATGATTCCGTACTCCTACCCCTTCTCAGGCAGAAAATGCAACAGCTGAAAATTCCGAGTGGGATTATACGAATTATTTGCTGCCTTTTCACCAACCGCATCCTTCAATTAAGAACTCCTGAGGAGACCCCTGCACGGCGGATTGCCTGGAGGGGCTTACCTCAGGGATCAATCCTCAGTCCTATCCTCTACAACATATATACCTTTGATCTCCCTTCTTGCTTAAACTTTGATTGTAAATCTCTCCAGTATGCTGACGATATTGCACTGATGGTCTCCAGTCACTCTATAGTCGATGCCGCATCATCTATGAATGTCTCTTTGGCTTCATTAAACCAATGGCTTCTTGATCATGGACTATCTTTGAGTGCTCCAAAGAGCTCTGCTGTTGTGTTTACACGTAGACGTCGTACCCCAGATCTAAATATAAATATTAACGGTCAGACTATTCCAATTACGGCGAAGGCCAAATTTCTAGGAGTTACCCTCGATTCCAAGATGTCAGGAGTCGATCATATTGACACGGTAGTTAAAAAAACTGAACGTACCGTATGTATCCTCCAAGCTCTAGCCGGAGTATGGTGGGGTGCCCATCCATGCACTTTAAAGCTGGTTTATAATGCTTTGGTTAGGAGTGTGTTAGATTACTGCTGTTTCCTTATTATACCTTGTAATAAGGAAGCACTGCGAAGGCTGGATTCCATCCAAGCCAAATGCCTTAGGACTATCATTGGAGCAATGAAATCATCACCCATAAATGCCCTACAAGTAGAATGTGCTGAACCACCTCTTGATCTTCGACGGCAGTACCTCGCAGACCGTTTCATATCCAAAGTCCTCTCCCGCTCATCCCATCCTCTACTTCCCATTTTGGATCAAATCCTCCTCTCCTATGATTCTTCTTCCTACTGGCTCCACAAACCTATACCCCCGGTGATTGTCAGATTCAGAGAGCTTAAAAAACTTTCGGCTTCTGTCAGCCAATCCCCAATTCTCCCTGTATTCTCTTCTGCATACGAAGCCATCCATTTCAAGCCAAAGCTTGTTCTGGGGCTTGGTATTTCAAAATCTTCGGCAAACATTGTTGGAAACTTTGAGCGGGCACTGGAAGTGTACTGGAAGGGCTGGAGTGTGTTCTACACTGATGCGTCAAAGTTGACCCAAGAGGGTTGTACAGGGGTGGCAACATATTTTCAGAACTCCAGAATTGCTATGCTTTTTAAGTGTCCGCCAGAGGCTTCAGTCTTCACGGGAGAATGCGTTGCCATTTTAGAAGCTGTTAAATTTATTAGAAATCATAATATTAAAAACTCCGTCATTTTTTCAGATTCCCTTAGTAGCATTCAATCTTTATGTCAAAATCAGTTATACACCAAAACCCATAGCCAACTAATTGTAGATATTAAACACCTACTTTGGTGCTGTCATAATGAAGGGCTTAGTATCGAAATAGTCTGGATCCCTGGCCACTCTGACATACGTGGAAATGAATGTGCCGATACGTTGGCAAAATTTGCAACGTCAGGTGAAGCGGAACGCCACCATTTCGTTATACCCAGCTATGATATCCGTGCTGACACAAAACGAAAGCTCTATGACACGTGGTCCTCGATATGGGAATGTACTTCGCAGAATAAAGGAGCTTATTACGCGTCCGTCCAGCCTAGTATCCAGAGGAAACCTTGGTTTTTTAAATTTCCTAAAATCCCGAAACAAGCTGTTACGTCCTTGTGTCGACTTAGACTTGGCCACTGCAGTAGTCCGGTTTTTCTGTGCAAGATTCGCATTCGTGACAACTCCGTATGCGAATGCGGTCTTGATGAGGGTACCCTCGAACATATATTTTTTTTCTTGTTCCATAAACTGCCAATATTTAGACCTATATAAAGAACTCCCTAGTATTAAAATCCCCCTCCCAATTAATTTTCGCACACTATTAACCCATTTCTCCCCTAAACTCATTAACCTTCTGGCTAAATTCATTACTAAAAATAATATTAAAATCTAATGTATACATAATACAATAATGTTTAAAATGTTTATGCTATGTGTGTGTTTTGTGTTAAATGTTTTTTTTTTCAAATACATATACTGTTATTTATTATATATGTTTACTAACCAAACTGTGTCCTGTCTTTCAGCTACTAACATTGCAGACATACCTCGAAGCGATAAAGTGCGACAGATCCATATCTATCCATCTGCCATACCACATGACGCTGGCAGAATAGTCAACTACTAAATAGTGGAGACTCTATTGCCATAACACAAAAAAAAAAAAAAAAAAAAACTTAAATATTGTTGTCCCTTTTGTCTAATACAATTATTGCCTAAGAAAGAGTGAGAAAAAACTATATTTCATAGTTTGTTTCATATTTCACTCATATTTGTATAAGCATGTATACTTCTTTAATAACAGGGCGCCTCTATATATTTTCTATCTCAATGGTAAAGACCTATTAGTTGCCACTCTCCTTCAAAATAAATGTGAACGCAGAAACTTATAACGTACTTGTTTCGTGGAAAAAACTGCGAAGTGTTAAAAATATTTGGTAGAGTTACTTAATTATTTATCCTTAAAAATATTTTGGTCTAAAATTTAACTTACGTAGATTTGCGTGACAACTTTCAAATCGATTAATCGTGTACTTGCGCACAACACTAGCAACATTGAACCGCCTGTCCGCATGGAACGATCCAAGATGGCGGCTTTTACCTTACAGTCACTTTGAGTATGGCAGCGTTTTAAATATTTTTGACTTTTTTATTCATATCTTTTAACAAGCAATTTTAACTATTTGACATATTTAATATTAATAATTTATTTAAGTTTTAAACATAAGTTAAGTGTTTTAATTGCAAAGTGTTTAAAAGTCGGACAATACTCTAGATCCTTGAGTGACCTTTTGAATAGACTTTCTTTTACCATATTGTTATATTATCGTATCTTATTTTAATTGTGTGAAGAATATCTATTAAATTTATCGGATTATTATGCTGTGATATAATTTAGGTATCAGTGCCACATTAAGTCTGATATTCAGGTACTATGCAAGAACTCCCACGTGGAAATATCTCACGTCTCTATTTATAGACCACGAACTTGGTTCGTAAGAAAAAGTGATAGGATAGATTAAAAATCAACTTTTAAAGCTGTATTTAATGTGTGTTGCTGTTAATTGTGAATAATTCCATCCGCACAGCCTAAAGTCTAAAATCTTAATATATTCCGACATATTAGCAACCTGACAAATTCGATTGTCACTCCATATTTTAAGTGATGTGTACCGTGTTCGTTACATCCTTTTATCAGTAATATTACAGTAAAAGTGGTAAATTTCTCGAAAATAGCCTTGATTTAAGAAACTGATCACAAGCTACATAATTTTATTTAAAGATGAAATATCTTCCAAGCTTAAAAAGACCATTGAACAAATAAGTTGAATGACAAATTCTGCAATATGTAATATTCACTTAGCATAAAATCTAGGTTTCTAACCTATTAAGTTAGTGTGGAATTACTTTGATATTAATGCATTCTCCTTTATTTTTTACAGTGATTAGTTCAGTTGATAGCTTGGCAGAAGCTATCATCCTTCCAACTAGTCAAAGTAATCAAGGATTAGGTGTGGAGGCTGCAAAGAAACCTGCAATAAAGCAGATTTCACCAGCCCTTGAGGCTGAAACCACTGCTGCCATAGCATCAAATGTTGAACTTGTCATCAAGAGTGAACCTATTGTTGAGAGTCCTCCCACTGCCACACAATTGTTATCAGCTAGCATAGAAAAAGTTTCTAAAGAACAGTTTGCAAAGGCTCCGGAATTTAAAGAAGGATCAAGAGCGATAGAAGCTCAAGCTAAATTAACACAGAGTATATCTAGTGTTCTGCGCACTAATCAATCTGATTTTAAAATGAAAGATATTAACCTTAATAATAAGACTACAGGTTTGTTCCTTTATATCTTTGTGTCATCAGCATTTGATTTAAGTAGTTTCATTTGATTTCATTTCTATATCAATGTCAATCTCTAGTTTGAAAGCAAATTTCAGAGGTTTTATAAAACTTCTTTGTCAAATTCGAAAAATATGTAATAAAAAAGACACTAGTTTTTGATTTTTTATCATGCAATTGTTCAATATTCAAGAGATAAAGGAGATAAATGAAAATGTATATTTATCTATACTTATACCTCTAAAACATTAAGCATCATCTGTAGTGTGACTCTTCATGTTATGGGATATCTATCAAGAGTAGCTATTTTGGGTTGACTTCATTTTATTATTTAATTTGAATGTCTTCAAAAGCCTGACATAAAAGTGTTCTTTTTTATATACCCTCAGTATTATATTTATATATTTTTATTCAATTTATGTATATGTAAACCATTTTCATACTACACCATTAGTGAATAGTTACATCCGTGGTATACAAACTTTTTCAAATTACTTAGTATGTTTTTTCTTTGTGTTAGATCCAGATACTGCCAATGGAAACCCAACAGAGACAACTAAAGCTGATACTGTGAAGGAAGATATAAACAAAAATGAGAAGGGATTGAAAAACACCAAGAACAATAGTAAGAAATCTAACAATAAAATGGCGAATAATGAGTCGAATGTTAAGGAAGTTGAGTCATATGAAAATGGTAAAAATGAGACTGATAAAGTAGTTAATGTAGAAAAAGAAAAAATCCAGCCTGCTGAAGAAGTGGCTGCCCCTATCCCTGTGCCAGAAGAACCTTTAAAGAATGAACCGCCAGCACCACAAGTTTTTGTGCCTAAATACAAATATAATCAAGGTTTGTCAAGTTTATTGTAGTTAAATGTCTTTTTGACAATTTACATTTATATATATATATATATATATTATTATCTTCTTTATCTTTTTCAGATCACTGGTCTCCTCTTAACACAACTGGCAAAAAGTGCTATGACATTGATTTGCTGAAGCAAATAAAGGATGATCCGCTTTCAAAGAATAAACCCAATGTTCCACTATTGGAACATTGTAATGTCATTAGGGTAATTTCTCAATTATGTTCCCTTAAAATGTACTGTAACCTTTTGCCATATGATTTGAGATTAATCAACTTTCATTGTTCCTAGACCACACCAATGCAAGAGCCACAGCCATTCACACCTATGTCAAGGCCTATGAATGATTCTCTATTTCCTCCATTTGCCAAGAATCCTGGAATGGGTTCCAGGAGTAATGCTCCTCGGGAAACGAAGAAAGATTCCCGGAACTCTACTCCAGCTGGTAACATATTGATCATAATCCTAGTATTATTAAGTTAATACTGGCTGGCTTTAAAATATTAAAAATTTAATTTTTTTGCAGGTAAAGGAAGTGTCAAGCTTCCTTCAAATCCAAACAGCAACAGTTCTCATAAACCAGTTATTCATGTCTCATTATCATTACGAGAGGAAGTGAAACTTAATGAAGTAGATTCTGCATGGAAACCAACTAGATTCCGCAAAGATGCTATAAATGAAGAGGAGTCCAGAACACAGGTAATTAAATAAATAAAAAAAATATCTAACTTTACGGTATTAAGACTTGATGATCTATAAAACAAATTTAATAATGGATGTATAACCAAATGGCTCTATCTAACACCCTGTTGAAAGGCTTGTCAATGCTAAAATTAACTAATCTCCTTATAAATCTCTTGTCATCTGATTGGTTGTTGATAGTTCAGACAACCAATTAGATGAGTTGACAAGAGATTAAATTGATTTTAAGATTGATTGGCCTTTCGGAAACCGGGTGTAAGAATGAAGAGTAAACATGCATTATTTATCACCACAGTAATAATGCGTTTTCACTCACTGTTCTCTTCTCTCTTTCAGTATATAAGGTTCAATTAAATATTCAGTTAACTTTTGAAAATGAATAAACAACAATGTTTCACCTCCTTTAATTTATTCCTAATATTCATAAATTAATTAACCTTATTGCAGGAGCTGTACAAAAAATTCAGAGGTATATTGAACAAATTAACGCCACAGAAGTTTGATACTCTATTGGAGAGAGTCAAATCATTGGAAATTAATAATCAGAAGCGTTTGGAAGGTGTGATTGATTTGGTCTTTGAGAAAGCTATTGATGAGCCCAACTTTTCTGAAGCATATGCTGCCATGTGTCACAAGTTGTCTATTTTAAAGGTACAATAGAAAAATATAATGGTGATAATGCTTAGTAAAAATAGTTTGGAGTTGGTTGATTAATTTATTTCTTATTATTTTATAGGTACCTGCAGATAATCCCACGATGCCTGACAACAAATGTGTCAATTTCAGAGCTCTTATAATCAGTAGATGTCAAAATCAATTTGAGACAGATAAAGTTGATGAGCAAATCTTGAAACTGGAAAATGAACTTGCTGCTTGTACTGATCCTGTAAGTTTGTAACAGTGAGGTTACTATTTTTTTTTTTCTTGTCTTGACGTAAGCTTATAACTTTTGTTTTTTTTTAAGCTTAAGAAAAAGGAACTGCAACTCATGATTGATGAAGAGAACAGACGTGTGAGGATGAGGTCTGTGGGAAATGTGAGATTTATTGGTAAGTGTACTTTTTCTTATTATTAATTTGATTTAAATTCTACTTTCCAATTAAGTACAAAGCTTGGCAGAATTGCAATAGCGAAAAGACTTGTAATATCAATTTGATTGTTTGTGGAATTTAAATGATCTTCACTCAAAGAAATAAATAATTTTAATATTATTTGGATTACCAGGGATTTGTTATTAAGACTTATTAAATAAGTGTTGCGTTACATTAGCTTCGACTTCTAAAGTGAATACTTTATTATTTGTCCAAAAATAATCAAATTTAAATTTCTTTTTACGAATAAAAGGAGTGCACAAATAAATCCTGTAAAATTTCCACATGTTGTACAGTTGAGAATTTCGAAATAAAAAAGTTACAGCCATAGCCACAGCCATTTAAGTATTATTTTAGTGTATTTTTAATACAAGTTGTTTAAAAGTTTTTAACTTACGTAATGAGAAAAGCACAGCAAATTTTTAATTAAGACACTTGCAATGCAGCAGCGATCCAACGAAACGTCACCCTTGCAGTTTTCTAGATGTCATGACGTGATTGGGCGAGCTACAAGAAAATTTGTTACCAATTAAAAGTTGTTAATTTGTTTCTTATAATTTTGGACACAAAGGCGAAATGTTAGCGAATGTTATACTTTAAAAAAATCTGCTGTGAAAAACTAGCTAATGAATTCAGCCACTGCGATTTTTTATTTGTGTATTTTATGTATAGGATATAACTTAACTTTGATAACTGCGAAATTATATTTAAGTTTACAACAAATACATATAAATCTAAATGGTTTTATTAAGTGTAAACTACAATCCGTATAATTGTTTCTTGCAGGAGAATTATACAAATTAAAAATGTTGACTCCAAAAATTATGGATTACTGTATGAAATATTTAATTGATAAAGTTGAAGAAGAGAAGCTTGAGTGCCTCTGCAAATTGCTTACTACAATCGGTGAACAAGTGGAGAGTGAACCTAACACTCAACTTGATAACATTTTCAAGAAAATGAAGGAGATTGTCGATCGCAAGTCTAGCAAAATAAGCAGCCGTGTGAGGTAACGTTTTGTTACAAATATCTTTGTTCTAAACATTTTTTAAAATAAAATGTATTGTCAGAACATAAAATGAACACATTCTAATTTATTTTACATTTAATGTTTGTTTTCTTATAGGTTTATGCTTCAAGATGTAATTGAACTGAGAGACCGTAAATGGGTGGCCAAGACAGTAATTGATTCTCAACCCAAAATGATGGATCAAATTCAAAAAGAAGCTGAACAGCAGCAACGTCACATTGAGGTAATTGAAAAAACTAAGCAAATCCAAACACACACTGTTAGGAAAAAGTTGTTTCATGGAGAAGTGGATTGGTAATGTCAATCTTATAATCATGTCTTTGTATCTTCAAGAAGTTTTCAATTACATGTTGAGAGTATGCAAGACAGGTTACCTCCGAGCCACCACAACAAACATAACATATATTATGTTAATAATTCCACCACTAAGTGTTTGTCACACCTATTTATTGTAGAGTAAATTTCTTGTATGTTTTTTTTTCACACCATGCACATACACGCATCATTTGTGTAATTAGATATGCATATTGCTGTTACTGTGTGGGACCACATACACGTGTAAATTTTGATTTGATTTGCTTAAGCAATGTTGCTAACGAAAACATGGTTATTACAAAGAATGAAATATTGAGTAATAAGTTTAGTAAAGTTACTTAATGTCTATTGTACTTTTTTTACTTAAAATAAGATAAATGTTTAATAATTTTTTACTTCACATATTTTACACCAGAAGAGTAAAGTGATGTTTGCAGTTTGAAGTTATATAAAAAGTTTGACACAATAGGTATAGCATGCTATACAATTAGTTGACTTAAATATTATAATCCTTATAGACATTATATACACACCTTTATTTCAGGAATAAATTGGTGATGGTTTTTGAGAACATGCTGTTTTCAAAGACCTTCACATTTAATTGATTTAAGATATTATTGTGATAATATATAAATAATGAAGTTGTGTTCACACATTGTCTTTTAAGAAAATTGAGGATATGTGCCATGTAACATTCACACAGTTAAGGATGAACCTAGCTATATGAATGACACTAACAATTCTTGATTTTACTGGGCGCAGCAATTACAAGTGACCTTTTCTTTTATAGCTAATGAATGCTAGCCCTATTGGTGGATTCCGACGCGACGAAGGTGGTCGTGGCAAGCGAGGCGACAGCCGTAGACAGAACTCCAATAATTCATTTATTGATAATAATTGGAAAACTAGAAACACTTACACAGTTGACACAAGTAAACTCAAAGCTGTAACACAAAAGGTGAGTACTATTATATTTACATAAGATTTGGAGAATAGTATACTGCATGGTGTTGCACCAATTACTAAATGTTAAAAGAAATAAAGCCAAATGGTGAAACTAAGAATTGCTGCTGTTTGTTTTGTTAGTTTCTAAAATATGAGAATGGGTTAACCTATATGGTTAATTTTAGTATTCTATTAGTAATGGCAGTTCAGGTTCAATATGTCAAAAAACAGAAACAAATGTAATTTTTTAGACATCAACTATACTTACAGGGTGATACAGGGTGCTATTTTTAAAATCTATATTAACAAATACAAAGCATACAAAATAACTCGCAATTACAATTCAATATTCATAGTAACAATTACTATGAATATTGAATTATTTACTGTTTTATCTGTCCCTCAACACCGCAACAATGAGTATTAGAAACAACAACTTTGAATTACATGCGTGTAAATAAAAAGTGATCGCTCTTTGTATTGTTTTAGAATTTGCATAACATTAAACTAGCGCCGCAAAATTCTGCTTGGCATCATGGATCAGGTACAAAGAATACTGCACAGGCGAGTAGCAGTCCCATGATCAGTATAAGCAAAAATATGTACAGTGTTCTAGAAAATGTACAAACTGATCCTACGTCACTAAGAGGTATGTGCTAGTAATTATGTTATTTGATGGAAGGGCCTAGCCCAATAAGTATAGTGAATTGATGATGATGGTAACCTACTGATGGTAACACACAAAAAACCTGTTTTGTAATGGGACTCAGTTTTAATCACAGCCATGACAAAATACCATAGTTACTTCATTAATCAATGAATAGATAGCAGATTTAAAATAGTGCTTGTACATTCTAATTGACTTCAATTTCAGCTATTCATAATCTTCTGCAAGTCATATTGCTAATATTGTGATCCCCTGTCCTATTCGATCATTTTGCTTACAAAACATACTAAATTTACTTAATAAAACTTCTATTGCAATGATCAGCTTTGCATCAAATGTGTAGTTCTTTAATTTTATTGACTTAAATGAAAATTATGTGGAAATATCTATTCCAATACAGTCTGCTATGCATAACAGGTGGCTCCAATGACAATCATAAAAAAAAAATATACATATTATATTTATTCATATATCTTGTTTCTTCTCTTGTTGACTTTGGTTTCTATTTAGGAACTTTTCTATTTAAAATAGATTTCTATTTTTATAGTCTTTGTAAGTAAAGAATGTTTACACTGTTTTCTGTTTACCGATTACCCTTTTAAAAAATTTAAGTTACATATTTTTTAGGTAATCGGGACATGACTCCTAATTTCTCCAAGGGGGCTTCAATTGAAAGGTCTACATTTAACTCCAGGGGTGACTTCAGTAAGTGCCGTGGCTATTGTTTTTGTATTTATATTAATTAACATTACAAACGCATGAATTATTCAATAATATGTATTTTTTGATAGCAGCGAGTGGAAGTAGCAGCCGTTCTGGGTCTGTGGGCGTCGCACGCTCTAACTCTGGCACTCGAAGTACGAGCGCCGCACCAACCACTCCACCAGTTGTAAACGATACACCAGCACCAGCGTCCGCTCCAGCTCCAGTTCCGCAAGAGCCTCTGACTGAGGCTAAGAAGAAATCTGTTAAATCTGTAGTAGATCTCTGTATCATTAATTCTGACGATGTTGAAATGGCTTCTGATGTCAAGCAGCTTTTTGCTCCCGAATATCATGCTGCTGTGGTTAACGAAATACTTCAAATTATTATAGACAAGTAAGTTAACATTAATTATTTATTATAACACATGAACATTATCGATCTCAAATAAATATATGTATATATATAATACTATTCTTTTTTTAGGCCAACAAAACAGATAGAACTTATATCAAAAGCTTTCCTCAGTTTGTTGGGTTCAAATACCATATCTTCCGAAAATTTTGTGGCGGGCATGAAAGAAATACTAGAATTAGCGCCTGATTTATTCATAGATATTCCTATGCTGTACGAGAACTTAGGAAAAATTATTGCGCCACAAATAGAAAAGAAGGTAAGTTACACATCCTAATTACGGACATTGACCTTTGATGAAATTGGTTCAGTTTTTAATTAAAATGTTATTTATTTTCAGCATATCACATTTGTACATATATTTAGGCATTGTGAAATGATCATTTCTGCTAATCAGGGGCCTCTATTTTTGAAAGTGATTATTAGAGAGCTCAAAGAAAGTATGGGTCCCTCATTTGTTAAAAGTAAATGGCAAGAGTCAGGCCTTCAATTAAAGCAATGGATGGACGAAAAACAGGTCTGTTCAAAATACAATATACTTGTTGACTAGCTTATTACTCTTGGAGTTTGAATTTTTAAATTTCCATCTTATGTGCAGGTGGCGAAGTGGTTGGAAGATAATAAATTCAATTTTTTGGAAGGCGACACGAAGGTTAGCGAAGAAGCTAAAACAGTCATGACACCAGCTCAGACTCAAGCGAAATTGATCCAACTCATGAATGCTGATGAGAGTTGTGAATGTATAAAAGGGTGGATTCAGGTAAAAATTAAAACAACTGATTAAAATAAAAATACTTATTGAAAACACCCATGTGCCATGTAATTTATGAGTGAATATAATTAGAGTTTATTTTAACATTTAAAAATATCGTCTATTAGATTATCTAGTAAACCATTTCTAATTTTCACAGGATAAACTCAACAGTTATACCAATGAAGATTGGTTTATGCGAGCACTAATCCAAGCAATATGTGAACATGCACTTTTTGGTGCTGAAGGACGTGACGTACCACACTTCAACCAAGACCGCATGAATAAATATGCAAGCCTGATACACGACTTTGGTGAAACAAAACAGTCAAGAGAAGCGAGCTGCTTATTTGGCATACAGCAGCTTATTCGGAGACTAGAACACCCACAAGGTAACTTACCAAACTAGATATTTCTGTTAGTAACTAAATTAGTTTATATAAAATATGTGATTAAAGTTTATTTTAAAAGAACTTAATTTTTTTGTATAATTTATATCAAACTTAACAACTAATTATTATTCAAATGAAACAAATGAACAGAACCTGAAAATAATATTTAGTAACTAAACTTGTCTTTGTTACAGGCTTAACTTTAGAGATATTCCAATATCTACATGAACAATATATAATTTCACTAGATGGGTTCATTGCGTGGGAAGAATCTGAAAAGGAGCCAGAAGGAAAAGGTAAACTGATAAAATCTTATTTTTTCTTGCACAAAACGATATTAGACAAATAACTTTCAGCAGTGTATGTCTTCCGGCTGATGATGATGAGGATAATGTTGATGGTGTGTATAAGCTAGGTATATATGTATTTGTTGTGGTTTTTTCAGGTGTCATGATGAAGGCGTTGACCTCGTTCTTTACGAACATCAAGGAGGCCGACAACGAGGACTCTTGCAGCGAGGACTGACGAGCGCCATACCACACGGTTGCGATGCCGTCGCTGTTCGCGCCGGTGATCGCACCCGTGCTGATCGCGGCAACGCCCGAGGCATCGTCTGCATTCAACGTCTTCTATATTTTTATATATTAGAATCATCCTAAACGGAACTCATAGATTATATTATTATTCTAATGATAACGCTTAACCTAACAGAAGCTAGAAAAAAGTTGTATAATATTTTTTAACGCGAATAGTTATTTATCAAGATTATAAATTAAATTTGCTTCAAAATTTATGCATGGTTCGGTATTGTACCTATTATAAATTTAGGAAATTTCATCAGGTTTATTTCAGGGTGTAATTTCCATGGTACAATGTAATCATTATTTTACTATATAAATATTTTAATTATGAACGATTGTTTGTCAGTTTTCCAATGTTTTTATTTTCAAGATCTTAATTGCATTGTGTGAGCACTTCTTCTCTGTTCTCAAGATTGCAATATCTTTAATATTCCTTTTAATATTTTATTTAAATGTTTTTACTGATTTTAATATATTTATAGATTAATAGATTACAATTGAGTTTTAAAATGTCTTAAACTTTTATCCTACTCTGATTATTATTTTATTTTTTAAATCTATTGTATAATGTCAATCTTGGCAACAGAGAATTTATCTTTGACACAATCGACAGTCCGCATGTTATGAATTTTTTTGCGATCCTCGCCTACTTTTATGCATTACATATTTTCTCTCGATCCAATACCTGAACGCTCCACCATTTAACTAAATTAACTGTATATTCTGGTCTACTATACTTAAATGTTACTTTTGCATGCTTTATTTGGGTTATAGCTTAGTCGTATTAGTAAAGTCACTGTTTAGAGAAATATGTACTCCTGTTTATAAGTTAACTGTTATCTGTTTTTGACAATGAAACTAATAGCTAATATATAAATCAAATTATTTACTTAAATCATATAATTCTATAGTTAATCTATGTTTGTTTTTGGCGTTGAAAAGGCTGAATGCAGTAGCGGATTCATAATGAACGATCCCCAAACGCCAGGTTGTTGGTGTTCTGGTTAAACGTAACGTTATTTATGTGAATCAATTTATGACATGTGGGTTGTTATAGTCTGCCGTCACTGCAAACAGATAGGTAACTGTAGATATTACGATCATTTAGTGTGAGCACCACACTTATCTTGTACAAAAAGTACTTATATCGTTAATACGGTTGTATTAACGAAGCTTGGTGAATACTTGTATAGAAAATATTAAGTGTTGTGCTTGCACACATGTCAGGCGCAGTAGCGGAGTATTACAGCGCCGGATCCCCAGTCAAGTTGTTAGTGTTTGTTGAACATAGGCCTTTGGGTATTTAGTTCGTCTCCGGTGTAATCCGCCGCTGCAGACAGATTCTAGAATTGTTCACAACACGACGCTGATTCCAACTCAATTATCGTTATAAATATATATTTACTTCCTACCGGATATTTAGAAACAGCTGTTTACACTATAGCAATTTGATTTCACTAGTATTGGTTCAATGTTTATTTAGATTTAAATTTGCCTTATTGTAAATTGAGAAGAGTAACAGTTTCTTTACGTACATGATTTCTCTCGATTTTAACTATCTTCAATTTCATTTATTTTATTTCCTTTTTTAATATTCAGTAAGTTTTAATTTCTTAATTATGTTTTAAATATTATTTTTTCAAAACTGCAAGTTACATTATACTTTCTTATACCATGTGACTTTTGATTTAATAGATATTTTTATTTAGTTTTAATTTAAATAGTTAGCTGTGACTCAGTAAGCAGTGGTATTTGTCTCAAATTTTCGTGAATTCAGTTGGTTGGGCCCGAGGTGCGCAGCGAGTAGTGCGGGCGAAAGCGACTCGTTCGCCTTTGTCTTGGATGGCACGCTCCGCTCTCCGTCCTTTTATAAGTTACGTTCACTTAACTGTCTCCGCTGCTGAGTTTTTTATTACTTATTAGCTACTCTTGTCAGTTACTATGTATGTTATGTAAATAAACTTTTTAAAAAAAGCTAATCTTTACTGAGTATTCCTATTAATGAACACCACATTGTAAAACAAAGCAATAATTGGTTTAATAGATCTACAAACTTCAACATAGTGTTAATGTATCAAAAATTAAAAAGATATATTTACAATTTTATAAATATATACCTATATATTAACAGGATTGAGATTTGTGTAAATAATATGTGTTTAGTTTAAAATATAAAATCCAATATAAAACAACAACCATAACCCGAAGGTGACCCATGGTGTTCAAACACCAGGAATCTATAAATCTATAAAAAGTTGCATATTTTAGTAAATAATATACAGTATTTCAACAAATAAAGGATATTCAATATATTATGTGTTATAAAGAGCCTGTTCCGTTGCTGTCATATATAATGAAAAGGCAGCTATCTTTACCTAGCAAATAAAATAAGAAAGACTGAAACTCAATCCAATTATTTAAAATAGAGTTAATTATTTTATCAAGATGATAACAAAAGTTACAATTCACGTATCGACTGGCGCTACGTATTGCGCTGAAGTTACAGATCACTGCCAGTCCTTTTCTCTTTCTCGTTCTGCCTGCTAGAAAAAGATAGCATTCTAATATGATGAGCGCTATTACAACAGCAGGTTAGGCTATCCTAACTCAATATTTTATTTTCCTTAACTCTATATTTTGTTATGGGAATTACGTGTATGTAACGAAATATAATATCCAAAGATACTTTCGTCCGTGTCGTATTGTTTCGCTTTTTATCTTTGTTGTGAATTTTAAATTTAATGCTACACTGTAGAACTTAGTAAATTATTGTTATTGTTTAATCCTAAAACATATCGTCCTAATTTGCAATAATGGAAGATTTTAAGATACTAATTCTTATTGTGAGAGTTACTAAGCTAAGCACAGGACTTGTGTTGTAACCGATTTAACCATGCTGTTGTATAAATTGAATCTATCATACACAATTTTATTGTTGCTGTATCTAACTGTACTGTGGGATTAAATATTAATATAATATATACACGTATATAAGTGAATAATTAATTACACATAACATTTATACACAACGGTTTAAAAATTCTATACTATATAAAAATTAATAATCTATGTGTTGACCTTTATCCGTATGTGCGTAATTGTGTTCTAACTAGACTAAAACAAGAGCTAGGCTAAAACCTTAACATTTCATTGAAGCGAGTGATTCTGGATAGCTTTGCCGTTCGCTGGCTGCAAGAACCGAGATGTTAGGTCACGGTAAGAATACCTTCGTCAGTACATTAGTATATTTTGCAGCGGATAGTATCCTGGAGCGGCGTCTGCGCAGGCTGCTGAGCAAGCTCTACCAACTTGATAACTGAGAATGCATTCTGTCATGAGTTGGTAACAATTTAAATGCTTTTGCCCTAATTAAGCCTAAACACTGGCCTGTTAAAATGTAAATAATGTTTCTGTAATTATAAAGTCTAATTTATAGTAAATTCATTGACTTGAGTCATGTATCATGACGTGAATGTCATTGACGAAGCGTCTAAAATGGCTTTATTGCCAAGAAATTAATACAACGATAAAGCAATAAAATATAGACCAAATAATTTTAAATAGCCATAGTAGCTGACGAACGTATTATTCTGTGACTCAGTACCTCAAAACAATGTCATCCTGAGATATATTTGCTATTAAAAGTCTTGATACGTTCTGATAGGTTGACATGTTCCTACACCCTGCAAATAGCAATGCTAGAGTATTTTTTATGCAGAAGATTTTGGAAATTCTACTTAAGTAGGGTAGCTCGTAGATTAGTTTATTAACTTATATACTTACCTAAAAGCCGGTAATTGATATGGCGGTCATAACTATTACTATAATGTTCATAAATCCAGGGAAATAATCTGATGCAAAACGTTTTGGTAAAATCCTTTTGCAAATGAATGAATATGACTATGTATGATTTAAAGGCTGGCAAAGTATTTTGTCTAAAAAGATTGCCTCACTTTGACCAATCATTATGAAAAAAACATGAGCAATATATATACAATATACTTACTAAAACTACACAGCTAAAACTAACTACTTACGTATACGCATAATATATCCGTGAGATACTTTCAATTTGTAACCTACCATCGGTCACTTGAATCAGCCTTTCTTTTGATATTCAAGAAATTATGGTACAACTAGCGCAGTTAATATAGAAAAATACTAATTTGATCTAAGATGGATGCAAAAATATCAAATTTGTTCAATCGCTGAGAAGCCTTTGTTCAACAGAGAGTTTGCAATAGCTTATCCGTAAAATTATAGTATGGTGATGATCCGCTCGAAAACGCGTACCTAGCAGTCATTGGTGGGAAGGCGGGGCGGATGCCGTATTGTAGTATGCATACCGGGAATGGTAGTATTATAGGCAATATTGTTATGAACCTATGGGTACTACTCATTCATCTTCTAACGCCTTGCCAATCTGTCGATGATTACCTGCGGCTAAAAAGCTAAAAGGGATCGAAATGTTGTTTGGGGATTGGTCAAATAACTCCTTATTTTCTAAGGAACGGCGTAATGTCGATTTGGATCGCAAATAAATAAATAATGGGGCAAGATCACAGAGACGCCTAACCGTATTTATTCTGGTGTGTCCAGAACACTTATGTCAACATATTCTGATTGTCAAGTTTTCACAATAAACGTAGGATATACCTACAAATGCATCAAACTTCCGCGTGAGAAGAGGCCTTTGCTTAGCAGTGGTCACTTACGTATAGGCTGACGATTATAATAACGATGATACCTATAAAGTTGCCAAAGCGCCGTATCTTTAAAATAAGTAATAAAGGTTATGTGATTAAGTCACAAAAGTTCCATCCCCTTAATATTTTTATTAAACATAGAGATATTACATATTTTTATAAATTGTTTAGTCACAGAGTATCATAATAGTTAGATATACAATTGTTGGCATGTGTATTAAACGTAAACATTTTTTAACATAATAATATAACTTGTCGCCTTAGTGGGTACCTACCTGCATGTAGGTATGAACAAAGTCAAGCAAACGTAAACGTATTTTTTAGTTTTGATAACGTTAAGATTTCACCAAAGCGGATCTTGTCTCTTGTAACCTAACAGTAGGTATCTGTAAGATGCTGCTGTTGCATGATGATACAATTCATGTAGTATCGCAATTAGCTACTTTAGTATTTGGCGACATTTCGTTTATAGCTAGACATGTTATTATACCACTAAAATTAAGTACCTACAGCTGTATAATTACAATTAAGTACCAATATAGAACCTACCATAAAATGCATCTGACTACCTACATACATTAGGTACTCTTGTACATTGCAGTCAAAACGCATTTCTTTCAAAAGTAAAAAAGTATCTGTAATGTTATAATTAGAATACGAACCTCATTGATTGATAATTGATCTTTTAATTTAATTAATTTTAAATTTGTTCAAACTCGTAACGGAGCGGTTTGAGCGGCACGGAATACCTAAACATTTTTTGTAGAACAAATACTTAAATGATATTTAATCAATATACCTACCGATACAGATGTGTATAAACACTAGTCGTGAATTGTTACATGTCTACGTGTACTAAGGTAGTGCTACGTTGTGAAATATGAGAATAAGTTCACAATAAGTGAGATCGCGTTGTCGCTTGCGTTGCGTCTACTAATCTACCTGCAATTCGGAATCAAAAGACAAGAACTATGTAAAGTATGTACCTACCAAATACTGGAATCGCTGTAACTAGATAGTGATTATAGTTTGGTTGTAGGTAACGTATTCGGTATGGTTAGCGCTTACAATTTATTATCTAGTAATAAATATGTAAATTGTAATTAATAATTGATTATAATATATTACGGAGATGTTCAAATATACAAATTATGATATGTACTATTTATATATTTTATAGCGATACATTACGACTTTTGTCACCATAGGCTATTTCGCAGACTTTTAGAAAATGTTCAAAGTAATTTACATATTGTAGTGAGGATTATTTAATAGCATTGTTTTACCTTCGAAAAATAGAATATACGATGTAGGTTGTGTATACAAGTGCTTTATTTTTCATGAAGTCATCTCATGATTGACTATTTCATTATTGTGAAACATTATTTGTTCAAAAAAAGCTAGTTGTTACCGGTTCTTGTAGGCAATTTATTGTACTTACCTAGTTCCTATCAATAATTAGTTTTATACGTAAAACGACGAACTACAGTGAACTAATTAGCAATATTCCGGGGCTTACCACATGTTTTCTTTCTATTACCTATATATATAGAGATATTTGGACTCTGCCACCTTTATTTACCAAATATAGATATTTAGGCATCTAAGGTAAGTACGGTAGTTATAATAGGTTCTGCAAAACATCATGCAATAGAAATATTTCCAGCAAATGACGATAGAGGCGCTTTGTGTCAAGACTTACGTGGTGTTACATTAAACCTATATAACACATTCTTTACAAGATTGAAGTGACTTAGGAAAATTAATTCCCTTTTATTCTAAGTAGGTAGACATATGAATTCCTTGGGGATTCTAATTACTAATAATATTTGTGGCATTAACCGTAAGGTGTACAAGGAATAATAACCTTTTAATCAGATACTTAGGATATTCGTTTATAAGGGCTTGCTGCCTTAAAACGCATAACCTAGTATTGTTATTCAAGTAGACACAATATTGTCAACAAATGCAAGTTTGCTTCATAACGAATTTGTTATAAGGCGAGTAATCGACACGTGGCGAAAGTTGATTGTTCTAAAGCTAATTGTTTACCTATATCATCTAAATAATTTAACCTATTAAGTAGATACTTGTTATATTTACTATTATTTCATATAAATTTTAACAACGACTATTTAATACCCTAGTGTTGGTTGTCAAGTTGAAATATTTTTCTGTATATATGACGTGTGTCCATATAATCGGTATATTCTTGATGTCTCCCACCTGGTGCGACAATGCCGGTGAACATTGCAACATTTCCCTACAGCACAGCAGATGAACATTGACCCAACTTATCAAATGTGGGACGTCTCCCATACATGTTCAACGGTGAGAGTATGCAATGGCCGAAACAGGTGGGTTACAACGGGAATACACCCACATCTATTTTCTATACATTATGTACTTAATATTTAATGTCTTCCTTAAAATGCTTACTATAGAATAAAAAAACCAGAAATAAAACCTAGATATTAAGTTAACTACCTAAGTGTCGGGTTTTATTTCAGGTACCTGTATACCTACCTAATCAAAATAATGACTTGTTGGATTATTTCAGTTATCCTTTTTATCAGATGAATGAGATGTTATGGAAATCTAGCAATAATGAATAGTGATATTTACAATAACTATGTACATAAAGTACAACTTCCATTTCATAGGACTTTTTTTAAATAGTGCCCATTTTTTCATTCGACATCTATGTGTAGCTAACTATATTTCCAGATTGCAACTTTTTAGTAGATACATAATTACTTTACGACTGCTACCTGTTTTGGCTAAAATCTTGATTGCGTTTTATACTTGTAGGTACGCACTTTATCAATATCATCGGGTCTATCGGGTAATGAATTGTAAAACTGACAATCATAGAGTCCCTACCTGCACAGGTATTTTTGAAGCTTACCTACTGGTGGGTGACCGTGTTGAAGGATTGAAAAACATTTTGGATTTGCCAACATAGGCATTGGTCACGAGAAAGCTGTCGGTATTGATATTGAGTAGATACCTCGGCATGGTCTTGATGAAGCGTTTCTTTTTTATTGGTACCTGAGTATGAGTAGCTAAGACACTTATGTAAACATCACTTCAATATTTAGAAGTTAACTAAGTACCTACCTTTTATTTTTGTTCAATATTTTAGGTTACGTAAGTTGGATTTGTATATTATACATTAAAAGTACTATGTATTGTATAGTAAAATGTACCTATATTTGCATAGAAGATTTAAAGTAGGTATGTTAGGTGTGATAGACTTGTACTGCCGGGCGTTATTACATAAATGTAACAAATAGACAATGCAGACGTCACATTTAATTTTTTACTAGAACATCGGCTAGATTTAAGCGGGGACACAAAATTGTACACTCCATTAATAAAAAGTAGCTTTCAAAAGTGTTGTCATTTCTTGATTGTACCTGTTCCAAACATGAAATAGCCTTCGTCAACTCTTATAGACGTTTATACATAGTTTTATGTCATATAACGCCATGATGTCTGCAAACTCTTCAGTCAACGATTGAACTACGTCGCTCCAATATGAACAGTGGTCTTCATCGTCCTGTATTTGTATTTGTACTTGTTTTAAATCTGCAATAATTGGGTACATTAAGTACAGTCTAAGTACCTATACGAGTATAGAGACATTCAGGTAATCCACACAACCTCAAAATATCGGTACCAAATGAAGTATCTACCATAAGGTTACCATAACTAATTGTAGGTTCACTCAGTGTCATAAATGTTGGTACTTACTGTAAAACTGTCAATAGCATTCAAACACTGGAAAACACGTCATCTAAATAAGATGTATAAAAGAGATACCTACTTACATTACCTATGTTTACAAGACGTAAAGGATTCTATTTGTCTCTTCAAAATTGTCACTTGGATGGGGACATTCCGCAACTTTAAAGGTAACTTTAAAAAGCTATGCGGAATTTTTGCAAATAAGTACTAATCGAAAAACGCGTGCTAAATTTTTTTATTTGTAAATCTGTCCCCATCCGCTTAAAAAGAAAAGGAGTTTAAGTAAAGGAGAAATTATACCTACTTAGGTACGTCTTTTCGTTGATTTAGAGGAAGGAAGCTAAAAGTCGATCGATAATTTTATTCAAAGGAATGGAAAATATTGAAACGTTAACCTCAACTTTAATAATAAGCTTATAAATGCGTATGAGTTGGAGTAAAATCAAACCACGTGAGAGTCACTAGTTACATTACACTAAGTATTTTCATTTCACTGTTCTTTGCTTACAATAAAGATAGAAACGTTAAGTATTTTTTTAACCTACGCACGAAAAACTCAACTATAAAACAAACTGCTCAAAATGCAAAGGACAGGACAAGTAGTTTCGTAGTATTTTAGGGGTTATCATGATGTGGGATAGGTATAGGTAATACTTAAAATGGTCTGAAGTTTATTTTTCTTCTGTATCTATTTCATATTTTTGAATGCGCACATAAAAGGTTCTAATATCTTTGACAATTTGACTGTAGGTATCTACCGATATTTCACGCTTCGAGTGAACCTAGACAGGGGTACCGTACCGACCGTACGGTAACTTCGTTTTATTGTTGATACCAATGTCTTTGAATTACCTGAATGTCTGTAAATATCTGATTCTGACCGTAGGTAAGTACGATTGATTATCTAGTTTAGCTTCGCAAAGTTCACAAACTATAAATAGGTACCTAGGTACCTATACTTACTTAGTGTAACTGACGATGATGATATAGGTAATTTTGTAGACCTTCTAAATAAAACAAGATTATTAATTGTGAGTTACTTACTTATTTACAAAGTGACCGAAAGACGAGAGATAATTACAGACATATATGTATTTATTGGTATCTTTGGTAGCTATTTACTAGAAGATCCAATGGTCCCTAACGCTAGCTCTTTTTAGATCATTTTAGTAGGTATTGTCGTCGTGGCAACATTATGGTGATGTACATCATAATGTTGCCACGACGCTGTTAAAAATGTTTAACGTATCTAGCTTTTAAACATAATTATTTTAATGATCTTCTAAAAGAAAAATGTGTAAATACAATGCCAAATTATATAGGTAGGTACCTAGTAAAACATTGGTAAGAAGTATTGGTAATTAATCCTTAGGTTGGAACAAAGATTAAGAAGCACTTACTTTTACAAACTCCGCAGGCTATTAAGTTAAATAATCTTTTTAAATCAACTTCGTCTTCAACTTTGCCTATGTATAAAAAACGCACAATCCTCGGCATTAGTTCCAAAATGCGTCGCAGCGGGAAGACTACAAATCTCCATTGATGTATACTAAAATTAACTGAAATAATATTAAATATAAATATCATTTAAAATATCAATATCATCATACCATATATTTTATATTTATTTAAGTAATTTTATTAACTTACTACTTGCTATTATTAATTTACTATGAATGAACCAAAATCGCGATTTATAGACGCGGTAATACGACAAAGGTTTTTATAGGATGGTTTGCTTTTATGTGTTTTGTGACGTTTTGTTGCCTTACTAGCCAAATGATTGTCTGGAAAAGGAGACTCACTACAATTGAGATAGATAGATAATATTTTACGAACAGCACGAAATTCAAACTTTGTAAAAAACACATAAAGGGGCCATCCAAAAAGTACCTACCTCACATGAATTTCATGATTTTCTGAGCGGGGGGCTCAGAATTCGTTCTTGTCACAGGTGGTCACATTTCACCCTCCTTAATGTGACGTCACAGTCATGTTTTACAATTTCACACCAAAAATTTATAAAATAGAAGCAATCAAATTCACATTTTGAAATGTGACGTCACAAAATTTAAAACTCTCCCACTCCTTGTCACATCATGTCACACTTTGTCGACCCCTCCATCGTTTTCGTGTGACGTACTTTATGGATGTCCACTAACGTCTTTGTCGCAAAAAATTATAAGGACAGCAGTAGTTGCCTAATAGATAGGTACTTTAGTAATAATTAATGTAATAGTCATACCTAATGTGACATAATAGATAGGCAATTACAGGATGTGGTGCTAAAGCTTTTGAATTTTTGAGCACTTACATTATGTATTAGGTACTATTGAGAACCTGATATTAATTACGCTTTTAGTGAATTTACCAATATTTTGGCTGTCTATGAGAGTATAATTAAGAACCTTGTAAGTACGTCCCTTTATATTTGATATTGACTTTACCTGCCTAGGTAGCTAGGTACTTTAACTGCGAACTTACCCAAATTATTAGAGTAGCGATATGCTATGTGCCGAACGAAGCAGCTTACGTCAGAATCCTGTCGCTGCGCGTTGCGCATATCGATGCCGAACTGTAAATGCACTTCCCGAAGAGGAATGCTAGGCGTCAAGAACCGTCTGACATTGTCATAGTCACGAATACGAACTGTGCAAACAGATAAACCAAATGTTATCAAGTCCATATTATAATAACTATAGATATCAATCTACAACGTAGGTACCAACTAACTAAAATAAAGGTAAGTAGGTATAGGTAGCTTATTAATAAAACATGTGCAACTTCTAAACTAAAAATAATGAGACGAAAATCACGATACTGACAGAAAGCCATGAATAAGTAAATATCAGGACAGGCAATGGCAACGCGTCTCCAGGCAGTGTCGGGAATGTCGTACCCTCCTACTCCGAGGGAAGTGTCCGCCCGACCAGGGATAGAATCTTCTCTGCAAATTAACTATAAAAAACATTAAATTCTACATATGGATGCAAGTGAAAATAAGTGTAAAAAGAAAATTAGCTTAATTTGAAAAAAAATTCGGTACCAGCAAACGGAAATGTGGCCGCTTTATCACCGGCAACAGGGACAACAGTGCTGCTCCAGTACCGTCTGCTATGTACGCAAATTCTAGAGCCAGAACTCTTAAGTTCGTTAACTGTCCTAGACTCTGAACAAAGGTGTTTCTTGTGTCTGGCCTGGGTATATATTGACCACTACCTGAAATTTTATTTAGATAGGTTACCTTATATTTACCATATAACAATTTATACACTAACAGTTAATAGATCATAACTAGCTATGAATGAAATACTTCTCATTGCCCAAATGTGATCTCAAGTTCGATCCCTAAGCGAAGGAAAGTACTAATTGTATTTTTTGACTTATAAAGATTGACAAACTTGTAAATATACGAATTATCACTCATTTCATATTAAGTATTACTAGCGTCTGCTAACATACATAACTTGGGAAAAACGGGAACTCGATTATGTGTGCAATGTTGGTAAATTCATAGAAATAAAAGAGTAGTAGACATCCACATTTCTTTTTACATGAACGTTGCCTATTTCTTTGATTTTCTCCTGTGTCGTGAAGCGTTTACAAACATACAAATTCACCCACACAAGCCGGGTGGCGACCACACCCGAAACAACAACTTGTGGATCACACAAAGTTTTGTTCCGCGCAGGAATCGAACCCGCGACAATCGAACAAAGCAGCCAGTTACCCAGCCACAGCGCCAGCCGCGCAGTCATATACCTATACAATATTGTCTTTATACCCTTTTTTTATCAAATTATAACTTTATGTTGGCTTCTTGTTATTTTACCCGTTGCTGCACTAGATGATTTTGCGATGAAGCCAGTTTTTAGGTGCGCCCTGCCTTTTTACCTACAAACTGCTAATTGTTGGGTCTAAAGATTTCAAAATAGCAAAATAAAATAGTATAGAATTGTCCGTACCGATGTGACTGCAATAGCTGTAAGAAAAAAGGTACCGTATCTAATCTACCCTAGCTTTTCATCGGTTTTATAAATGTAACTGCTGTAAAATGAAACAAAATGATATCATTTTTTTTTATTAATTAACTATTTCGGTTATGTTTAGTCGTCTTTATTGTAGCCTAAGTAATTGTCTGCCATGCTATTTGACCATCCACTTAATTTTCAATAAATCAAGCAAAAAAGACACTTAAAAATTGTCATATACTTACCTACGTATTTTTAATAAATAACAGCAAAATTAACCGGGCACGAATTCAGCCTTGCAAAATTTTAATTAAGTAGGTAAGTACTTATAATAGGTACCTAAATATTAATTTTCATTGTTTTCAAATTGAGTAAGCACATTTCTTGTAAATGCGAATGCGAAATAATTACTAAAACGTTACTACACTATATAGTGTTGAATTATTTAGTTAGGTAAGGTACTTAATTTTTATAATATTCTGACTTTTGGCATAAAATATAATACCTACTGGGTAGTGATTCAATTGATTTTAATTCAACGTTAATATTTAAACCATCAATGACTTCTCCGTCTCTTTCTGACTAAGAACCCCCGTTCCTTCTCCTGCTCTGGACCGAGGCCGCAGTGCCTCATTGCGCTTGCCCCGCAATCCGAGCTCGTGTGGTTGCCTTCACAATTTTTAGCGTCGTGTGCTTCATTTTTTTACGTGATGATAGATCGGTCAACCAGCTTGCGTATAACATGATGGAAGGCAAACAACGCCGCCCATGGATATCTACTCGTAATACCAAAGGAGTAGTAAGTAAAGCCTACAAGTTCGTTGCTGGCCTCTTGTGGGCTATTAGCATGAATTAAAAATCCTGGCTATTACGGATTTAAGTGTATGGCATTTGAGTATTGAGGATGGAAGTTGGGGGGAAGGATGGAGAGGGGAAGGATTGGGCGAAACACAACGTAAGTGTTGCTTCACGCCGGTTTTCTGTAAGGCCGTGATATAATTGCTCCGGTCGAGCAGGCCCATTCGTGCCGAATGGGTGCTTTATTTTTGTCTGCGGCTAATCGGCACGAGGATTAAAAGTTTGAATTTATATAGTTTATTACGTATTGTTGCACTAAGTAGGTACTCAAGTTTCATTTCAACACATATTAGAAATCAGAAATGTTTAAAATAATGGGGTCGCTGTCCCTACTAATAATTCTCAATTTCAGTGGTTATCAGTTCTTCCTCTAAGAATAATAAAAAATAAATATTTTATTATTTAGTCTTTCAGTGGTCTCCCCAATTGCACGCCATTGTGCTTAATGTTCAAGACTGACGACATGCACAAGGTGACTGGCAGACCCTGTGGATGTCGTCAGTCCACTTAACTGGGCCCCCAACTAAAATAGTAATAACAGTAAAACGGAAATAAAATGTTCATGGGATAGGGGGGCCAGCAAGCAAACGGGTTATCTCATTGTAAGCAACCAGCGCCGCCCATACGCACCCGCAGTTACGAGTGCGTTGCCGACCTTTTGGGGATTAGGGATTTGGAGATTAGGTAAGGGATTCGGGAGAGATTGGGGGAGGAGAAGGAATGGGTCCCTAAGTAATCGCACTCACACGGTGAAACACAACGCTGAGGTTATTTTACCCCATTTTTCTGTGAGGTCACTCCTGTCGAGCCGATTCATTCGTGCTGAATCATGGCTCTCCTATTCCTACTTATCTTTTGTTATATGCTACTGTCACGCAAAAAACGTATTAATAGTAGTTGAGATAGACGCCCGGTCTCTGTACCGTAGCCTCAACTAAGACCGAGCGTGACAGGTCACCGCTGTCGATATCGGTGCCAGCTCAAGCACACCGCCACGGTAGGGTTCGTCGACCGTCTCCTCCGTTTCTTCGCGCTGGACCCGAAACAGATCTACCACGACATCGAAAACGAGATCGAGTAGTCCAGGCTCGAGAACCTCTAAGGCATATATCTTTATTCTATATTCTATAGCAGATATTCTATCGGGTCGTTTTGTTTTGGAAGGAGAAAGGATCCGCCGGATCTTGGGGGCGAAGTTCTTGGCAATCAGCCGGCGCACGATCGCTCTCAACTTTATCTCTCAGCATTGGGCACCGCGATTTAAATATATTTGGTGTAAAAAATGAGTTATTAAATTTTTTTATGGGTGGTTAGCGTGCGTGTAAGACTCGTAATTGAAACTCATTTGTTGAAACCTTATTAGACCTAGACAGATAAATAAAGAAAACACTTAAATTTTGAAAGATGTCTATCAATTTAATACATAGGATAAAATAAGTAAGTAGGTTTTTAAGAAAGTGATAAAAATAACTTAATGTAGAAACAGAAAAAATAGTAAAATTATAAAATATCGTAGCCCAAGTAACTGGCAAAAGGTACTATGATCAATTGGTTCCCTTTATTTGTACTGTGTCCGACTTGCAAACTATTTTGCTTTTTAATACCGTGTGCAACATTGCTGGCTCTGACGGGACTTTACATGGCAGGCTTATTTTCATATTATTCAGACGTGGCATCCATTAAACTCAATGCGATTGTCAATAATACTTCTTTTTAATATACAATTCAACATTGCAATTCGATATGAGCCGGAGACAACCTTATCACCAAGACAACGGCTTAGACGGTTGCCACAGCAACAAAACATTCTTGTATACACTAAAATGGCAACTGACGAAGAAAAGTGTAAATTGAACAAATTATTACAAGGATTAGAAGTTTCGGAAGTTAAATTGACGGAACGATGCTCTGATCTTGTCAAGACATTCCAGCAAAGATTTGGAGCCGAAGTCGAGGCCGAAAGTAGCCAGGAATCTGAGAAAATTTATGACGATTTGACAGACAACCCATATAAAGTTGACCCACAATTACTTGAAGAGAATGAAAAAAAGCTGCGAGAACTACTAAATGAGAGCAAAAGGTTTGTTATGAAAGTTACGTTAATATTCACATCGCTCACGTAGGTACCTCATGGTGGACATACAACCGGGCATACAATCAGGAGTTCAGTATATAGTAGGGTAGGTACCTACATCATTATTTCGATGTAAACTATTGTTTATTTTTTCCAGATCAAAGAAAGCAAATTCCGAGAGCGTGCTGATGACTTCTGCAGATGATAAAAGACCGTGGCGAACAAATTCAAGCAAAGAAAAACTGTTTCGTGTCGATAGCGAGCTGAAGCGACATATGAAAAAATCCTCCCAGATGATCGTACCTTTACCTGAGCACGAGATGCAACACCTCGTCAAGGAGTGCAGGGAGGAAGGTAGTGTGGCACCAGCTGTGGGAGCCAATCGGCTTAGAGAAACTGTTGACGCTGCTAAGAAAAATCTACCAAATTTTCAGTACAAAAAAATTTACAATAGTACAGCTACTTCCATTATGCCTCAAGCTCATACAGTTCAGACCCAACCAGCGCAACCCAAGGTTACTAACTAACCGGATAATTATTTTGTAGAACTATTGTGTCAAGTTATTTGTTTTAATAAAATTGTCTTATTAAGTATATGTTGTTTGTTTATACCTGCAATTTTTAAGTTTAAAACATTGGGGAAACTAGTAAGCATTAAATGTTAGCGAATTGTTCTAAAAACTGAGGGTATCAGGAGTCGAAAAATAATGAATGTAGCTGTTGTTATTGATACGATATCTTGCCAGACCATTGTAAAAAGTTCACCCTAACCTGTTTGACAAAAGTGCGATATTTTTGTGGGTACCTAACTAAGATCTTAAGTAAAAACTAGTTAGTCCTAAAAAAATGTACACTACACACGGAAGGCGAGTATATTCGTAAGGATTCAGGAGTCACATCAGATTTTTGAAAAAAATTCTTAGTTATTATATACGTAAAAGGATAGAGGAGCAACATCAAATTTTTAAATCTGATCTCACTATTATTTGGTAGCAATATGTAGCGTATTTTTCAGCACGAATTCTAGATTTAGCAGCAAAATACCTATATCACTAGTTATTGTAATTCAAAAGTTACTCGTGCATAAATGTGCTGCTACACTAGGCTACACTACAGCTGAAGTGTGACGCTCATCGACAGAATACAAAGTTGATTGTAGGCAGATGTCTACTTACCTGTCAAATACGAGTAGTTAATAAGGATAGGATTTTCATTAGGCAAGACGAATCTCCATAGAAACAAATATTTCAACGTTTGTGCGTTGAAACAAGCCAGTTGTTGTATTAAACGCACACCTTCGAGTCTTGTGCAGCATAAGTTTTCAAAAGAAACAAGTTGTAGATCATCTTGGAAACTACGGACAGAATATAATTTACATACAGTTTGGCTTGCTAAGATGGAGATGAGACTAGCTTGTGTGTGGTAAGCTAAGTTCTCACTTGCTGATCCTGATCCAAGATAACCAAATGGTTATCTTGATCTAAAGTCAATACGGTAGTTTCCAACTAGTCAAATTCAATACTTTTATCCAAACGTCAAAAACGATACTTTTCTATGAAATTTGTATGAAAAACTGAGCTATGACGTCATAACATTTTTGCGTCAAATAGCTTACTTATTTCACAATAATTAGCTAAAAAAATATAAATCTTGATGTATCGATCGATCGATGAATAAAAGTATAGTTATTTTTCAATATGTTATAGTGTTGAAACATCGAATTAATTTATTTTTGACCTAGGAAACTACCCAATTGCAGTCATTGTGTCATAGTGTCATTGTGTCAATTTAGGTGGTTGGAATATTGATCCTGAATACTGCATAGTGCTTCGTTTGGAGAACCACATGGATTGTTGAACATTTGAATCAGTTTATTATTCTTAATCGCCCAAAGGGTTCATTGAAAAATGTGGCATGATAATACGTTACATTAATTGTTATAAATTGATCACCTGATTATGTTACAAAGGAGCCTGAAAAACGTTTTCCTTCTGAAGTAATCAAGTCGTGCAAGTTTGACATAGCAATCGCATATTATAATACGGTCCATCTGAGCTCTGTCTACTTCCATTTTCTGAAAACAGTATAACATTATGGTGTAACATAAGGAAGATGTCAGAAAACTATTTTTTTTTGGTTCTTTAACGTTAAACCCCATGGGGGTCACCGGTGAACTCCGTTAGCGGAGGATTTGCCTTCAACAGTTTTCTGTCGGCAGTCAAAGGCTTAACTCAACATAATTCTGATATTTCAGTGATATGTTCCTTGAACGCCTATCCAGTTTGAGAATTATTTTGTGTTGATATATAACTGACCCCTTTAGGTAAATATCCTTCCTTCCTTTTAAGGGGGAAGTTTTTATCCAGCTGTTGTATACGTCTACTGCTCTCACACTTCCGTACATATAAATTCATTCATGTAAGTCTAAACAATTTATAGAAAGTAAGGCCAAAGGCAAGATAAACCATTTATATGGGGTTTTTTCCTGTTTAAAAACGGTAAAAAACGCATGTAGTTATTTTTCTGGCTCTGAAAGACAAGTTATAATTATGGAAATTGAATGGTAAGAATTAAAACTTAACCTTTAGCGTTAATTCTATTGCGTAATGCACTTCATTTCGATAAACATTTGATTCGACTTTTGTTGCGAAATTTGCTCTCCAGAAATAATTGCCCAGGGCTGTGGGTAGCCTAGGGTATGGATATTGAAATGGAAGGAGTACTTTTTCACAATGTACACTAGCTTCAGAATATCTTTGTGCTTCGGCAATGTCCCAGTGAGCGGTATCTTTGCTCCTGTAATAAACTTTATCATTAGGATAATTAAAGTACCCTTACAACTTCAATTAAAAACTATTCTATTATAAGGAAACAAACGTAAGTATAACAGAAGCATTGCAACATTGTGTACCTATACCTAAATAAAACATTCCTAAAAAAAATTATCTGCCACTTTAAAAAAAAATGTATCGGCAAAAGTAAAATGGAAAAACTATAATAAGCTATATCAAACTTAAACTTTGCTTCGTGTAAAGTAATAAAACAACGAAAGATATAAATTGCGCTTATCTGTATAATTTAACTTGAAGAAACTAACAAGAGAACGTCGTCATCGTGTATTAAATCATCGGTTCTTTGCACATATTTCATCCAGATGAAATTATTTTGGGTCCAGTCACCGAGTGCAAGCAGTCCCGGGCTTGGACGATAGTCTCGTGGATGCTGTAGCCAATTTACGCTTTCCAAGTGGCCAATCATTTTTAAACACTTACATTCCACTGTAAACAAATACATTTTTAGATTTTAGATTCCAGATTTTAGCAACTTAAATATTATACACTACTAGCATCTGAAATCAAAATTTATATGTCCATCTCTTCGGTAGCAGTGATCGACACTTATACAACGTTACCTATGTGTTTATTTTTTAAACTAAATGCGATTTTTTTTGCTTAAAAGTTTTCATTCAACATTTCTTTGATATGGTTGGGTTATACCTATTATAGTATTTTTAAATTTGTTAATACCTAACAAGTTCATTTGCGAATAACTAAAAAAGATTTAAGATGCCTGTTGGTATCTATTGAGCAACATTTTATTTATTTGTGAGCTAAAAAACTAAGGCTGTAAATTCAATTTTTTTCTTTCCTTTCACGGGACTACAGGGTCCCGGCCCGGACCTTTGGAAGGCGTACGAGGAGCCGAAGCCAACTCGCAGAGGCCCGTTGAACAATTTTAATATAAATGTGATGGGACATTATTTTTTATTATAAACAAGTCTTCCGAAAAAATCTGTGTTTATTTTATTTTAATACAGTGCTATCAATGCGTAAGTAACTCTGTCTATCTGTTTGTCTCTCTTTTACATTTAAACTACTGAACCGATTTGGATAAAATTTTGCACAGACATAGTTTGAAACCCGAGAAAGGACATAGGATTATTTTTATCCCGGGAATTCAAAAGGAGAACTTCCCGGAAATTCAAAATGAGAACTTCCCGAAAATCCTATGGGATCGGGACCTATATATGTTGGTAAAACCAAAAATCTGCCAGAAATCACTATTCCACGCGGACGAAGTCGCTGGCAGAAGCTAGTTATTACCTAATATTAGTGTAAATTAACTTTATTATTCCTGTCGTCCTGGCGAGTCTGAAGTTAGCCGTTTGTCTGCGCAATGGGTCTTTTAGGAACAAAATTCTGTACTGCGCAGCTAATCAGCTAACTTCAGACTTGCCAAGATACGACGGCCGTACTATAATTGACAAGTATGGATAAGTTAGGTATGTAGGTATATTAGAAAAATACTCAACTAATTTGTTCAATTATAAAGTAGGTAGGAAATTTTTAAAGGGGGTTTAAATACAAGCTATTTTTGCGTAGTTTTCAGTTTCCCCCCACTAATCAGTGCCTAGCTTCACTGACAGACTATTATCCAACTAGCTTTTGCCCGCGACTCCGTTCGCATGGAATAGTGACTTCCTGCAGATTTTCAGTATAAAAACTACCATATATGCTACAGTACAGACAGACAGAGTTACTTTCAAATTTATAATATTAGTTTGGATTTGGATTTTGACGTTTATTCAAAATTATTGGTTCTTTCGAAGACTGGTAGATACTGTAGTATTGACGATTGATGCTTTAGTAAATAATATTAATAGTCAAATTTTAATAATGTAAATTAATAAAAATACCTTTTTCGTGTCTTAGGTCGGCTAACGAGTAGGATGATTACCTGATGGTAAATATTCAGCACCGCTCATCGACACTCGTAATATCAAAGGAGGTACTATAATAAGTGCGTTGCCGACCTCTTGTGAGTTATTGGGGATTTAAGGATAGGCGATTTGAGGATGGGGGAAGGATTGGAGGATGGGGATGGGGAAGAATGGGCCTTCGGTAACCTCAGTCACACACGAAACACAACGTAAGTGTTGCTTTACGCCGGTTTTCTGTGAGGTTGTGGTATCACTCCGGTCGAGCCGACCCCTTCGTGTCGAAGTATTGCTCTCCCACACCTTTACTTAATTTTAAATAATAAAAGTTGGCATTATTGGGTTACTTATCTGTGCGTAAATTGTGTGACCGTGCAATATTATGATCACACGTTGCTAATCATTTTAATGAAACTAGAAGTGGTCCTAAAACCTTAACAATAAACTAACAAATCCGCAAGGCAGCTTGTGGCGAGCTGTTGGGCAGTGGCGACCCCACGGACCTGACTCCCGGGAGGTGTCTTGTTCTTCTCTCTCCGGTTAGTCCTCGTGACGAGCTGGAGTGAACACTGATGAAGAACAAGCCCTCCTACCTCATTCTTGCCTTAATTGGCTGGCTTGAGTGGAGATTCGCAAGAGTAGGAGTTGAAGGATACTCGGGGAAAGGATGTATCTCAGTAAGGTGCTGGTAGGGGTCTTGACCGTACTTCCGGTATTGCTCTGATAGCCGTGGGATGCCTCTCCTTCTCCAAGCAGCTCAACGTATGTTGCCTCCGTGTCGTTACATGCTAGCGGCCGTTTCCGGAGGCCCATTAATTGAGTTTGCCAGTCACCCCCTGCCTGTTTATCCCTATGTATCATTATTGGTCTGGGGCAGGGGCCAAAGTATTTCCAGAGTTACCATATCCACCAGTCCATAGCAACCAATACCTATAACCCTATAAATTTTTACCACATATAACAATTGTCCTTGGGTGCACTTATAGGTATAGTCCATACAGGGATAATAGCCGGCTGATGTCCCATAACATTTAGATTAAAACTGTTCAACGGGCCTTTGCGAGTTGGCTTCGGCTCCTAGTACGCCTTCCAAAGGTCCTGGAACCTGTGGTCCCGAAAGGAAAGAACTAACAAAACCTCTTCGAAATTGGACTCTTTAGAATCGTTTTGATGAGTAAGCAGTTGGTTTTGCAATCGTAATCAGGGTCTGATGCTGTCAGAAAATCACTGTAGAAACTGTATTGAACAACAAATTCCTTCCGAGTATGGATTTATACATGATTAACCTTGTATTTAAGTGTTCGATTTTTGAAATGTCGCTGAATTAAATAAGTATAGATAGTATAGAAATAAAAAAAACAAACTTCTCTTTTAATTCCAAAAAATAAAATGGTGCTTATTGGTTTTTTGTCGAGAAGCGGTGCCAAGGCGTACTTTTTTTAGAATAATCGAAAAATTTATTTATTAGCAGGCTGATTTCTATTGTTATTTGGTATGTTCCCTATGTTTTCTTACTTCTAGTAGGTAAGACTTGATTAGCTTACCCTCATCATCGGTAATAATTCCATCGTCAGTTCTGATGTTTCTTACTCCCAGACTATAAGAACGAATAGGATGTACAGGTTTCGAAGCTTTTACTTTCCTAGATTCTTCATCTGAACGGCCTTGTGTTTCTTTGATTTCATGATTTGAATTTCTTAAACTTTGTTTTTTCATTTTAAGATTTGAATCGGAATCCATTGCTGTAATATTATTGTTGATTATTTATGATACATGATAAGAATGAATATTTAGTAACTGTTATAAAAATGTATAGTTTTATAAATAAAATAAATAATAGAATGTAAACACCCGTAAACAACAATATTTACTTATCAAATGTAATGTCAAATCATAGACATGTCTTCAGAGATATATTACTGTACAAAAAAGGTTATAAGGATTTGTTATTTTTTAAATCTTGGTACAATGAGGATTGAATGTGTGGGCCTATTTAAAGATAATATTATGGGTTAGAATGTCATCCCCATAAGCTCAAATCAGAGGGGGGACACTGCCCTACATCCACCAAGATCGGAAAGATAGAGGTGCCATCTTATATTTGTAACTAAGAAATACTCAATGTCTTGTTAAGTGACTACATATCACAATAGATGTCACTGTCCTGGTGTTGCAGATCTAAAAAACTGCTTCAAAAATGGGTATAAATAACCAGTCATGTGAATTTAAATAACGCTTATAAATATATTTAAAGTGTTTCAAATAACTAATAACTTATATTTATAGTTTAATAAGTGGCGGTTACTATAAAATTTTTTGGATGACAGTCGTTTAATCATTCTAACGCATTAGGGCATTTATTACAAGAGAGCATGGCAACACAAGTCTTTTAAATTTTCATGTTGACAGATCACACGATGTTTGTTATTTTGAATAAGTTTTGTCTGTTTTTTTAATTCCGGAGCCCTTCCTGGCAATTAAACCCTATACAACTGTAAAATAATTTGACTTTATGGGTTTAAAGAATTAAAAACAGGCTAAATCAAAATCTACATTATTATACTATAGGTAGGTATAAATATAGCATGCATTCGTTTCTGGTTACAAAATCCAGAGGGCGCTTCAAATTTGTATGCCAAAAAAATACGCTAGAGGGCTCTCTTCTACTCCTTTATTACTTTACTCTTTGGCTCAAATTATGAGCTGTTGGACTCAACAGGGTCTCGCTTTATATAATATGTGAATTTGGTGTCAGAAAAGATAATACGAATGTCTTGGGATTTCATTATATTTGAAAAAATATACAAAGAATTAATGTTATAATTAATTTGTTCTGTACAATTTAAACATTTAATTAAGAATACTAATAAATGCGTTATACAAAAGTGATTACTAAAACATTTTCGAATACATTATTAGGTATGCGTCGAAATTATAAGAATACAACCCGTATCTAACTATTAGATTGATGCAAACAATTTTATAATTTAGAACTAGAGCATTTGATATTATATACATAAATAAAGAAAAGTCAGTGATTATTTTGGAAACTTTAAAGTCCGTTTCTGAGACTTTCCGATCTTGCTTACTTTAGTAAAACTTGCTGCAGACTTAGCATTCTTCAGGTTTTTTTTCACATTTTCCGTATACAAAGGTGCAGTGGTCTGTTTTACTAAAGCAAGCCATTTCAAAAAAAGCCATCAATAACAAAATGTCTTGAATCAGAAAACATTGCCAATAATATAATAATTCGAAAATTGTTTTATCTTATCGATATTTTGCTTATTTTCAAACAATTTACTAACCATTTATACTAACCAGCAGTCTTCCACTTATAATACTTGTAAATACAAATTTTCAAGCTGAAAATATCGATAAGATACAACATGGACGTGTTAGAACAACAATGTAAAGTGAGTGATACAAGTGGCTGTTTTAATGATTATAGAAGTTCACTTGTTTTCTTATAAATGAGATTTCATATAAATGGAATTTAACATAGGTCTATAGTGACGGGTAACTGCAATCCACTGTCGAGTAGCACTGCTGGCTACAGACTCCGCAAGTATGCTGTTACAGCGAGTGCGTTTGCTCGCCGATTTATTACAATGACAATGACGATTTTCAGCATTGTTTTACAAAAAACGAACTTTACGGAAAATGGATAAGAGTTTTCTAGAGACAAAAGCATCTGTCTTTAAATTGTCTTAAAAATGTGGACTTTGGACGTAATCTTATTGTCGATATCGGATTTTTGTTTCATATTTTCAGTCTTTCTAATCCGAATATGAGTTTGGATGGAATTTCATAACGGTAGAGATAAAATTAAAACCAGAATAATTACAGTCATTGTCTCCCATTTATATTGTTTCTATGATTCTAATGTTCCTGTTACAATGCTAATAATCACTTTAGATTAGCAACGCTTGCTCGTAATAAGCCAATTCTTAAAACGTATTTTGTGTCACATTACAAAATAATTTTGAACTTAGGAATGCAAGACAAAGTAATGAAATGAATGCATTTATAGTATGGCAGCTGATATCAACGAAATCGAAGATTATACCTACTGCGAGCAAAGACAGGTCAAAATATGTAATAACTATATAATTTTTTTATAAGCAACTTTTGGTAACGAACGAATGCTTGTTACTTTGAAGAATGTTAAGGATTCCAACGTCGATATTTTGGTCGTTTGACGTCTACTTATTCCTCATTAACAGACAATGTAAAATGTTTAATTAGCAGTACATTCTTAAACAGTTACGCGTAAGTCGACACTCGAGCAAAAATGTATGTAGGCAGAATGTTGAGTCACATCATTTCACATTGTTAAGGCCTCATATGGCGTCTATCATTTTGTTACCCTGTCTTCACTCAACAGTATCATGACGAAGTAAAACTAAAAAAATAAAAAAGAACGTAATTTATCGTTAAATAATTAAATCTAGTCAGGTATTCAAAGCTTAATTAAATTGCTAATTAGCTACACAAGAATGGATCTCTAGTGTTGTGTTAAAATAAACAGTTAACCAAATATTTAGCTGTTTAGCAGACCAACTACTGTGGAAATATAATTAAAGTATTATAACTGCAAAGTTTCGTTTATCATTAGCTATGTTTTAACTTAACTGTAGGTACCTCTATGCGATAAAATGTCTAAAATATTTGCCGCCGTTGCATAGTTAAATTGTATTCAGAAAATAATCCAGTCACGATATAATCACAGCCCAAACATAATAATAACTCTTACTGATGGTACAGTGAGATCAGATACATTGGAGTTCTGTATATTTTTCATTTTGTCCCTCCCTGTGCTAGCTGCGCGCAGACACTAGTCTGGTGTACTTCACACTACACACTTCTATAGATGGCGCTGTACGCTTGTGGCACCTCTCAACACTGACTACTTGAACATAATTATCGTAAAAATAACAAAATCAGAACTTATGGCACACACGAGGAATATAACTTCTGTATATCTCTAACGACTACACGCATTACTAATTGCTCACTCACTGAAATATGCCGAGTGGCAAAGTTCATCTGAAGCTTCATATACAGCTTACCCAGAAAGACATCAAACTATAAACCTATTAAATACGTGAAGCTATTCGAGTATGATTACAGCAATTTAAATATAATTTTCTAGTTAGCTGAATGACTATATAAAAGTATGTATAATCCCATGAAATGAACTATATTGAGTTGCAATAAAATTCTACCTAATTCGAGGCACAGATTGCCCGACTGCATTATAAAACATATACAATAATTAGGAACATAATATAAAATTGACAAAACTCCAACTCATGCAATAAATAATATTTTGCAGGTTCACATACAACTATTACCTACAAGCACATAACGAGTATGTATAAAACAATACGATTGCTATGTCTAATATTTCCTAATGCCTATAAACATTTTATATACTTTATAACATTCATTTCAATTTCCAATTTTATATTTAATTTAATTAATTTCAGGTTGTATGCGAACTTGCAAAAAGCCAACCTACATACCTTAATATACCTTTCAAAATAGCACCACCCCTTTCTGATTCTTACATTCTTTAAACTGCGTTCAAAATGATAACAATTGGTCATTATTACAAAAAAGAAAGATGTTCTTTAAAAGTTTTTGCATAGTATGCAATATAGCCATCATTAATATTTAATTTTATAACCAAGTTTAAAGTTAAATACGTCACATTTACCTAACTCCAGAGAGCTTAGTTATATTAAAAAAGGCTTAAGTTATATAACATTTAGATTGTATTCGCTACGTATCTGTTTAGCGATTCATGGACACAGACTTGTTATAGTGATTCAATGCTAGCCTATCATTTAACGTGTACAATTAGTATAGTACCAATAAATATTTCATTCCAGGACATTGCCTTTTCCTTTTGGTGAATTTGTAAGAAGCCAGTTCTTGTGTTCGCAACGACCAGTACAGGCGCGGCCGGAGTGCTGCCTGCTCAGACGGTGGGCTGCGCCGCGGGAGCGTGCGGGTGAGTGGACAGATGCGTGGACTCGCTGCGGCGCGGAGGAGCCGGCGGGGGCCTTTTCTTAATGGGCTTCGGTTCCTCTCGGCGCGGCGGAGGATCTCGGCCGAACACGTTTTCATAGAACGGGTCCTCTACTCCACCGCCATAATGCTCCTGAACCCACATTGATACACTTGTCTCTTTGTAGTCCTCAGATAAAGGATATTCTCTAAAACCGAGAACTTCGTGTGGTGTCGTAGCTGGTTCCAGTTTACACTTTTGTGCTACTTGCCATTTCTTTCTCATAACTCTCTGCAAATCTCGAAGGAACTCTTTTGGTGGATTGCTGTTAGAATCCGCTAATTTCTTTGGCGAGGATAATCTGGTGCTTTCATTTCGTTTTGGAGGTGGTGGTTTTCTAGGGGACAAAGGCGGTTGTTCCTTTAAATTGAACGATATTTTCTTAGTCTTTTTACTCGAAGTATCAGAACAAGTAGGTAGGTCATCAGCAAAATTAACTTTTTTCATAGATCCCGTGCGTTCTTTAGAAGGCTCGCTAGTTAACTTCTTTTGAATCGAGGGACTGCCGTTACTTATTTTCTTCGTCTGTAATTCGGCCAGACAGGCACCATAAGCAACGTTTTGCTGGCCGTAGATACTTTTGTCGGAATGCAGGGACGATGTTCGAGAAGCTTCCGAGTGTACGCTGTCGAGCGAAGGCTGGCGCGGGAATGTGCGGCTGTGCTCCGACGAGCGAGCAGTCACTCGGGATTGGCCAGCTCGCGCTGTCTGTTCGACTTGTTGCGCCGTCAATTGGTTCACTATGTCGTGGACGCGCCCAGCAGCTGTGTGTGCTTCCATAGTATGTTCTGGTGGAGGTGGCGGCAAGCTAAGTTGGGAGCCAGTGAGATCCTCGATAGGTTCAAGAGGAGGCGGCGGGGGCGGCAGTGAGTCCAGACTTAGTGTCGAGCTGAACATTCCGTCGGGAACATCATCAGTTGGGGGTGGAGGTGGAGGTAAATCTTCAACAGTGGAGACCGCAGGTGGTCTTTGTACTTTGTCGTAAATTGTTGTGTATCCATACAGAGCAGAGCCGCTGTCTGAGCTGTTGCGGTAGATGTTGTCGCGAGGAATGCTCTCGTAATGGCCGTACGTGGGAGACGGAGGATCATGGCGCACTGGGCTGCCAGTGTTGCTTAAACGATTGTTGGTCGTGCTGCTGTATACCATTGTTTCCGTAGAGTCTGAAATAGAGAACGAAATTAATAAGCACTACTTTTCAATATAAAAAACAGTATTAAGTTGATACCTATTATAGTTTTAAAGGTGGTTTTTTTTTTACAACAACCTTTACTCAGTAGTAGACACTTTTAATTCGATAACGGTGATTTTTTTAATAAATAAAATAATTTGCTTGACGGAACACATTACACGTCCTTAGTTTTAGTTACTGTTATACATCAACATTTGTGTATTTGATTTCAGTGTGTACTGACCGATGGTATGATGTCTTTTTAGCGTGGAGTCATCAGTGCGTGAGGAGCGAGGTCGCCGGGTTAGAGTGCCCGAGTCACCACCTCCCTCATCCTCTGCACCACAATCGCCCCCTTTCTCCACCATCTCCTTCAACTGACGCGTCATCCAAGTGAGCGGTATGTTGGGCTTCATGGAGGGCTTGCGTTTTATCGTACCTGGAATTACAATATTCACGTGAGATACAAATTGCTTACCTACATATTCATGGTCAACTAATAATTTACTATTGAAAATATCTTGATGACAAAAATTAATAACTTGTCTAGATGTATAAAAATTTATATGTTTAATTACCCATAGGGAATTCGCAGTCGAAAGCGCTCTCCGAAGCGGTGCCACCGTCGGATAGACATCCGCTCGAACTGGACGACGATGCTCGGGAATGTCTGCACAGGTTAATTGTTACAATAATTTATAATGACAAACAAATTTTGTAGAAACAAAATTAACAGCATTGGCTACCAATAATTACAAAACACAATAACAAGAATATGAAGGAATTTCATTCGCATAATTCAAACATATTGCTGCAAATTCTAATAAAATTAAAGACGCAAGCAAATAGGTAAGTTTTAGCATAACAATTATTAGTTTCAATGATAACAATCGCTTGGAAAACAATAGATATATCAAACTTTTAATGGTTTAATAATTTCTTTTGTGTAAAGTGATCATTTAATGATATTGTGAGTTATTCAAACCATTACAAGTTTGTGGTGGTTTTAGGTGGGAATTAAGTAAAGGAGATACCAACCTGCCGCTGCTGATGTCTGAGTTTGCGACGCTCGCATTACTGGAGGTCGATTGAGCAGGGCTGTTAATACCAAGTGTTGGCATACCGTTCGTTTTTGTTGGTATAGAAGTGATCTGTAAACAAGAATTCACAATGAATACAGATAAACAATTGAGACGATTTAAGACCAATTTTAAAAATAGAACGAACACAAATTGTATTTCGAATTAGATTTAAATATGACCGACAGTGTTGGTCGATGGTTTCGAAAATAACAAGGAAAAAAGATGTTGACGATTATGATACTTACTGAACATGAGCGTGCATGAGCAAGGTGATCGAGATCTTCCTGGGTTAGCTCCTCTACCAACGAACGGTAGTTTTCCAGTAATTGCCTTCCATGCTGCAAAATATAATAGAATGAAAATGTTTTCGACACACACTGCAATTATCATTGGGAGCCTAGGACGGGGTTTTTATTCTTGAATAATTATAATTTGTTGATTTGGTTTGATCGAAATATGCAATATTTATACTACGACTATGCATATATTTTAGTTTCATTCCAAGTACACAATTATTAAATGTTTCTTTTACTTGTATGGAAACCGTACCTTTGCAATACGCATCGCTGTCACCCATCTCTCGAGTGTCCGCTGATCATCAGCGCACAGAAACTTAATAAACTTAACACTCTTTGGTTGCTGCAGCCTCGGGTGCTTGATCGCGAAGCAATAGTCAGTAGGTGACTTATATTTCTTCTTCCAGTTCAACCCTATGTACACTTCGTTAGTGTCAAATGTAGCCAGACACACCAGCTCTTTCAGAGTTTTCACCTTATCCTTTGGCGAGTAGTACAGTCCTAGATAGTAACAAATTAAATCACACATTAAATGCAATTCACAAATAAAAGAATAAGAAAAATAAAAGTAAATCGCATGTGCCAGTTCGCTTTGCTTACAAAAATGTGATATGTGAATAGTGTGGCCACACAGCGCAGCGTGTTTGTATTTTTTACTAACCAGATGGTCTCAAAACGCAGTAGATTTTCTTCCATCCCTTTTTGGCATCATTCTTGAGATACAGCGGCCCCTCCATGGGAGGCACTGGGTGACCTGAAACGGACGGCACTGTGCTCGTAGTTCCTCCACTTTGTCCGAAAAACTCGTCAATGATAACTTGTCTGGAGTGCTCGTCTTGTTCACTGGACCAACCTGGAAATTTGGATAAGATATGTTTACTTATGGCACATTATTGTGCTTCCAAAGTGTTTCAGTTCCGTCCGGAAACCTGAACTTACCTCTGTCGTCTTCAGTTAGAAGAAACTTTTCCGGCGTTTGGAAGAGAGATATCTTGTCTGGTCGCTCAGCGAATAAAATCTTGTTTTTCGATTCTCTGGTCCACAGCATCAAATTGTCGACTAGCATCTCGTGGTCTTCATAGACTCGTTCTGAAATAAGCATTTTAATATATTATATTTATAATGGAACTGAGAACTAAAATTTCAATAAAAATGGATATAATGTTATAATTGCCTTACCCATGTGCAGATCAGGCAAATGTTCCACAATAGCCCATTTCGGTTCCATAGTGACATGGTTCTTGTCTGCTAGCAGTCGTGTTACGTATCCGCAAGTCATCTTTTCATCAACCAGTAGACTCTTGGATGACCCATCCATGGAGAAGGCTTTGATGAATAGTTTCTTGATGTTAGCTTCACGCATGCGTTCTAGTGCCAACTTTATTTTGTCAGCCTTAAGTTGGAAGCTTGCATCCTGGAACAGCAATAAACATTGTTTTACTTGCCCTAGGAATGGTCATGTGGATTAACTTTTCAATACAAATAATTGGACACTTACTTTCGGCGTTTGATGGAGATTCAGTTTCATTGATTTACATTTCGTGCTTGTGTTACTGGATGCCGACGATTCACTGGATAGCATAGACACCTGCGAAAATACGTAGATTACAATTAATATTCAGTTATCAAACCATTTTTGCGTACAACTTAATCTTTTAGTAATTGAACGATACAAAATTGTTAACAAAATATTCTACGAAATTGTTACACAAATTAAAAATAAAAGGCAAAGGCCCAAGGACATGTCTTAAAAAAAGAAATTTTTGAAAACGAAGTTTACTACTTTACGATGTCATTTAAGGATCATAAAATGCATTGATAGGACTTTCAAGAAATTAATGACTGAAAATATTAACGTGCGTCTTTAATAAGATGCATTATATTGAAACTTACAGTGTCGCTAAAGGCTGAGTCGTTATCGGGGGAGTCGGTCCGTGCGATGCTTGATGCACCATCGGCGCATTCCTTATCTGGCCTCTGAGAGCTCTCACCAGCGCCCTCGGCTCTACACTTCGATGTTGAAGATAAAGCTGCAACATCATAATCCATCAGAATGTTACATTTCTTGTTAAAGTAATCGATATTTTACTTATAACCTACTAAGTAACTTACTGTTAATATCCATTTACTTTTTATACTATCTCTTAAAATTATATTTATGTGTGTTGCGTAATTAACAGCTTGAATAGAAGATGAATAGTTTACCGTCAATATAGGAACGTGAAGGTAAATAATATAATGGGAAAGGAGGTATTTTTTTACAAAGTTGTGCTTACCTGAAGATACCCTCGATATTTCTTCATCGTATTCTGAGTCGAGTGCACAAAGTTCCCCTAGTATCGCGTCTAGGTCTGCATCCTGTGTCTCTTCCAGGTTAGCCATGGAGAACCTGTACGTGTCTATCCGGGGAGCCACGATTTCCAATGGTCTCAAAGCACATGAACCATCACTGGACGAATTCAAACCCTGCAAACAGAAATATTCTCACATCAAGTATTTGGGTGATAAAGGCCCCTTATAATAAATCCTGGACCTTAATGTGGTCGCACAACGTAATGAATACTAATAAAAGGCCCCATATAAGTCCAGGAATTAATTATCTACGCACATGCATATTAACATCCCAAAACATAGTTGGGAATGCATTGTCTTTAAACAATGAACTTGGTAAGTTTGTTTGTCTCTGAGATTGTAATAACACTTTATTATATTTCCAGACGTTTGTTCTATTATTTAGTAAGTGTGATAGTAGATAAACAAATCAGCGGGTACACTGGTAGGTACGTATAATGTGAGCACATGTTGTGAAGTTTTGTCATTTGTTCATAAACACTATTTATGATAAATATTTTGGTATAAATTTACCGTAGGCTTAAAAATTTCCACACCTATTACTAAGCAAGGGAAATATTTACAATTTATTATAATGTGTATTTATTTATTCAGTTTGTTTTAAATGCCATCTGGGTATTTATAAATAAACCTCCGTCCATAATAATATGGAAACCACAAATTTATTTAGAAACAGCTAAAGGTCTGCGTAAGGACTTATTAAAGGATTTCTGTCACAAAAATATCCTATTATGTAGTGAAGTAAGTATTTAAAACCACTTAAGTGTCGGTTATCACCAGTTTTGGTCATTAGTAACCCGTCCACAAGTGAGAACGTACCGTTGCAGCCGATGTCATATCCAAACTTTGTTCAAAGCTTTTGCTCTCTGTGGGTGAACTGTTGACACTTCTTGCTTTGGCACTTGCTAATCGAAAACTTCTGTTGAGAGTTGACAGAAAGCGTCCGCGCTGCCACTTACTCGATTCGTTTAGCTGCACATCCATCATTGCGTCTACATCGCAACGTGCAGTGACTCACAAACTAACACTTGACACTATTAGCAAAGCGTGCCAAAAGCCGGCGCTACGCCGTGGGACCGGGGCATGTTCCCTAACTATACCGTGCTAGTACACACATTCGGGACGGCTCTAAATTAAAATAACACACTGCTCAATACTTTCATTAAAGTCAAGTTAAATGTCAGGAGGCATGCACTTATAATTGATAAGTATGCATGGAAACGAGTTTGTTATTTCAACGGGCATAGAACACGGAGCCTGCGCGGAACTGCACCATAACTTTACCGCACTACACACTTCAATTAGGTATTATTATATCGTTCGTAGAGTGGCCTCGCACGTTCACTTCACCGAAAAGTTTTCGCGCCCAGTATTATGTACGAGTTTATAAAATCACAGAACAAAGAGCACTGGCGAGGAACTCACAAAACGCGTTCGACGTTCGCGGGGACAAACCACAACTAGGCAGTGCAGAGCACAGTGAAGTGAGTAGTATTACAAAATGAAGCATGAGCGCTCGCTGAGTCGGCCGCTCGCAGAGGCAGGCAGCAGCGCAGGGGGGAGGCAAGTAGACAAGCGGCAACCGTGTTTTGTGACTTGCGCACGTGTGCGCGGCCCGCTACGCTACGTTGTTTGATTCCAGAATGAGTGGACGGGGCCCGCGCACTAGTGTGCGTGAGTCCCCTCGACTCGAGCCCCGAGCCCCGAAGCCGCGTACTGGCGGTGGCGGCGCGCCACACGCACGCACCCACGCCCCGCGCCCTACGCAACGTGACGCGACCTCTTTCAACCACGCACGATACTATCCATTGCTTTTTTAAATATTTTCTCTTAAAATCTCTTAACTAAGTACTTTATTGTACCCTGAAAAATAGCTATATAGACCCGCATGGACTACAAATAATATTACGACATAGCATAAATAAAATAAAGAATAATTGATGATGAAATAAAAATAATAAAAAATAAATAACAGAACAGAAATAAATATGCTGATACTACTTAGGTCAAATTATAATACTTGTCTAATTTGAACACCGTTGACACGATCACGTGGCGATGCAAGAAGAAATCGACTGAATGACCTAGTTTTATTTGTCCCACTTTTGTTTTAGTACTGACCCACCCCTCACTTTCCGAATTAAAATGTAGGAAGGTGACTATGTTAAAAATACCCGCCTTGTAGGTGTGCTATGGGCGTTAAATGAAAAAAAAAACAATACGTCGTAAAATTTTATGCTTACATACTTGTATTTTTTAAAGCTTTGTGATTGTATACATATATGTAACCCAAACAGTTTGCCTACTTCAGTAAATCACTACACAATTACTTTAGCTACACAAAATGAAAATGTCAATACCAATAATTTGCTTGAAGTAAATTTCAAAATAATATCTTGAGGCGGAGAAGTTGTAATCTGTTTTGTGAATTGTACGGGACTATACCAGAAGTTGTATGAAAAAGATGCACAAAAAATGGGAAACAGGTGTTGTGTTGGAAACACCTGCTCGCGCGACGGCCGCACCACGACAGATGTGCACGATCCAATTTTATCGATTTCTGAATTATTATCGCCGATAATCATCTTAACTATACTTACTAATTATTATTATTTAAACCAATACGCGCGTAGTTTTGGCGTTGATAACCGGGACGGACGCTAAGCATCGACACCTATCTATTACTCTAAACTATATTATTATTCAGTAGATATAAGCCTAAGTTATCGACTCTTTTAGTGTAAAACACCCTTAAATCACAAAGTAGGTACCTAATTTGTATTAATCTATTATTATAGATGTCACGCTTAAAGTTTGAACTTAATAAAATAAAAATAAATACACGTGCAGAACTATTAATAATAAAATAACAAGCTTGCACTGTACATCAAAAGATATTTACAAAACGCGCACCATTAAATTAGAGTTACAATGTAATTACGTGCGCTAAATATGCTTCACAGTTGGACACCCCAAACGAAGCATCCTAAGGCAGCACATCTGTCGCTTTACATCCAGCAGGCTAGAGTTGCATTCAACACAATCGCTGCCGGGCCAACTTACAGTATTATTATTAAAGTTGGTGACACTTTGCTGGCTTTGTCAAATATGATGCAAAAAGAAACAGTAATCATGTCACGAAAAGGTTAATAAAGAAACAGTTAAAGGTCTGTTGAAAATCAAGTTATCGCGTGTTCGTAGCCAAGATGTTAATATAAGACAACGCGCAACAAGCTTGCCGAGGCGACGCAAAATCTTGGTAAAAGCGCATATGCGCGCGCACCTGCCCCGCGTCGGCGGCGCCCGCGCCGGCTGCAAACCACACGTGCTCTTGTGATGCTGCATCAATCATCCCTTTTAACTCAAGCAGCCTCTCCGTTTTTATTTATTTAATTAATGAAGGTAGCCATACTTATCTTTCGACTAAAATACGATTCTGAGTTTAGGCCAGATGCGTCTATTTATGGCGCGCGATTCGATGAGTTAGGCAACGTGGCGTTTTTCAAAGAGTGAGTGGTTTTAGTGAAATTTTATCACCTGGTGTAAGTGATATGGATACTGTTTACTTAACGAATATTGCTAAAGGTGCTGTAAGAACAGGATTCGGTGGTGCTATTAAATTGGCGCTCGACGATTAACCTCACAGTTACATTATAATAACATGTTATGAATAATGTTTACCGCTGTAAGTACGGTGAGCTCGCCGAGCCATTCGTTGAGCAAGGCTTCGGGATCGTCGGCGGCGGCGCCCGCGCCTTGTTCTTCTACCAACGCCATCTGGAAACAATATAATTGTAACGTTATTACTGTTCCACAATAAGAAATTATTACGAGGTGTATTTTCAAGTCACCTAACTACTTTTATTAAACTATTTATTTCAGACCAAAACACGTTCAAAATGTTCAAAACCGACCGATAGATTCCCTACAGAATTGATTCGATTAGTTTCGAAGTCTAATGAAGCCCGTATTCACACAACGTGCCTAACTACCTAAGCTTTAGTGCCTCTGAATAATGATGAACAATTTATAGCTAACTGAACGGGGCCTCACACAGGAATAGCGAAAATGTCTTTAAACGTTTTAGTTGTTGCTAATTAGTTTAATATTTTTTGATAGTATTCGTTTTCTAAGTTTCTGAACCTATTAGAAAGTATCTATCATTCTTTTTCGTTAAAATAATAAGAAAATTGGGATTTTATGAAATTTCTCTAAAAACACGTTTGACTTCACGGTTGGTGCGGTGGCTGGGCAACTGGCTGCCGTGCAACGTGTCGCGGGTTCGATTCCCGCACGGAACAAATCTTTGTGTGATCCACAAATTGTTGTTCTGGGTCTGGGTGTCATGTGTATGTGAAATTATATGTTTGTAACCGTATCCGACACAGGAGAAAATCGTAATGTGGGGCAACGTTTTTTAAAAAACAAAAAACAAACAACACATTTTAATCTTCAAACTTATACAAAATTTTCTTAAAACGACCCTTGACTATGAATATGAATTTTAGCCCCGCCATTCCAGTTACAGCGATTCTGGCTTTGTGTTCATTCGTCTAGTCGTCAGCAAGGGTTAAATATATCATATTGAATCTACAGATTAATTTAATAACTAGCGCGTCACGTGCCTGGTGCACGGAGTTACAAGTATCTGACAAAACTCAACATTATCAATAAAATCCTTGTAATAATATATATAACATAAACCAAGTTAAAACTTATTGTTAGAGAGAGTAAAATGATCATAGAGTATTTATAAAGAAACTAAATAATTGATAGGAAAAGGAATGCTAAAGAACATGTCATTATTAGCAACGTAAAACCTTTTGTTAATATCTAATAGAATGCGTACTATCGACAATGAATACATAATCCCACTATAGTTGTAGAATGCAATGTCCATTCTTTGGAATTATGTTTAAACGAACTACAAAAATATTGTAGTAAATTCAGCTTTGTTGATTTTTATGAATGTGACTGCTAGATTCAACACTTCATGGGAAAAGGATTGGTTTACGTTATTTTAAAGGAACTAAACATTTATTTGATCCCCGACCACGTGGCGGGGTATAACAAAAGCCGAATTGTTTGCTAGTCGACAGTCAGTTGTAAACAATCGGTCGCCATTCACTTTGTACCGGGAATCCGTCCACAACTGAAATCACTACCTGTTAACTACATTGTGAGAAGTGCAATTAGTTAGGGGATTAAGTTTAGCTTCAAAATTCACTCTGCTAACATTAGTTGCTAAGTACTTAGTAGCTAGTTACTAATGCATAACCATCGCATTCGCAGCGTAAGCAAACTTGCACTGTTGCTCATTTATGTACCGAAAATGTATGCACATTGTTAACGCAATATGTTTTAACGTGTAGTACCTGTATTATACACGCATATAGGGCAGTTTGCGTCTGTATGTGTGTGGCGGGATTATACAGTAGAATCCCAAACACACTGATCCTGACGAACCTAATTGCTAGGTCTTCCATATTCATCATTCCCCTCATGCACGTTCGTCGGTTGTGGACACTTTTACTTTGGTTCTTTTTTAACACGTCGCCAATCTGGTTGGTGTTTGTTCGCTTAGTGTGGGCTTTAACAATGTTTCTTTTAACACAAAGTATTCTCAAGAGCTTTTTCATTTAAATAAGTCCAGAAAAATTGTATGATTCTTTTATAGACGTGGCGTAGCAGTCGCGTAGTGTGTGCGAGGCCGTCGCGTAGCAGTTACGTAGACGCTACGTAGAGCTTTGAAGCATAGAAATCTTCGTAGTACCCCGGGCGTCACGAAATTTAATTTTACGTAAGTAAATATGAGGCTGTTATCTACAAAGTGAATCAAGAGCAACATAAAGAGTACTGTAAGTGGAACGTTCGTGGGGCACGTCGGGCCCTAGCCTATTATGTTTTTGCTGTCCTAGCTGCCGTAACTGGGAAGGAAAGTTGGATTGATGTAATAATTACGTAATAACACTAACAATAATACATAAAAGAGAGATTTTCGTAACTTGGATATAAAAGAGTATCTAGGTTATGTCGTGGTTGTTGATTAAGCACGAACTGATACGCGCACACAGACTGTGTCGGGTGAAAAGTTCAGCTCAGCCAGTAGCGGAGGTACTCTGCATAAATATTGTTAGCGCGGAGCCTCCGTCTTGAAAGTTATTTCTATTCACGGTAGACAGCGTCGGCATCGCCGTCGGGCTGCATCTAGCTATCCAGAACCTGAGTATTAAGAAAACTCGACGAAGGAATTTAAAAAGGTTCAGCCGCCGCGCGACGTGGTTTCCTGCAGATTTAAATTACGAGTCTTGACTTATTTACGTCGTTACCTTTGTGCGACCAGGTGAATAAATTATTTAGAAGTTTTCGGTTGTAAATGAGTAAAATTATTCGGTACTAAAATTGTCCGGGTGGTTGAAATCAAAGGGAGGTTTGCTAGTCGGATATTTCCCATAAACAGACCGCGTTGATTTAATAATGTAGTGCAAATAGCGTCTGGCTGGCCCGCCATGAAAACTCACTGCCGATATAATCAATATGAGGCTATTTAATTTTGTTCCAAAGTGGCTTAATACTGGGTATATGGTATCGGCTAATGTATGTACTGTTCACTAGTTATGTCATTATAGGTACATATCATGGACTACCACAACATTGAATAACATATTATGTATAGTTTTGGATGTTTTCTTAGAATATGATGATGTTTTAAACTTATAATAATTATAGGAAATATGTTAATGCCTATAATTATTAATGTAAATCAATATTATTCGTGTTATTTTCCGATCCGATAAGTTCGACACTTTCATATAGGACATAGTGCTCGCAGCATTAATAAATTTTTCATTTATACGAATCTTAAAAATGTTCCCAACTAGAAAGTTTGAAAATAGGGATGGAAGTTTGTTAGGTCACATGAAATTATTTTAAGCAATTAATGACTTGCATGGTCTAAATAATTCGTATGGCACAATTTATTGAACACCATAACCGGGTCAAAAATAAATTAATTCCACGATTCAATACAATAAAAATTAAGAAAAATATTTTATTTTTTATTTTATTCATTTAAGAAGGCTTACAGACTAATAACAGAGTAGGTAACAAAAATATATAATTAAGTTGCTAATGACAAGCCTCTACAGATATAAGTACTTTTTAATAACTACTTTTATTCATCGATCTCTCGGTACACAAAATTTTCGATATTTTTATGTAATTTTTTTGGAAATAAGTAAATTATTTGATGCAGAAAGACTATGACGTCATAATTAGGAGTTTCATACTAATATCATAGAAAAGTATCATTTTTGACATTTGTATAAAAGTATTTAATTTGACTAGTTGGAAAATACCGATTTGCTCTTGTTTGTATAAGAAATTTATGTCGTGTAAATGAGCATTTATACATAGGCTACTTTTAACCGAGTAACGCCGGTGAAACCGCTGGCAGAAGTTAGTACTGCTCAAATCCAGTCTTCATAATATGTATTATAATAAAAATGGCATGTAAATATTGATCGAGCTATTGCGCTGTCGGAGCGTAAGTATAATGAATGGAGCTTGCTTTCTCCTAAAATGTATCGTCGCATTTAGTGAGGGGAAAGTGTAGCAGTTGTTAAGATAAATTAACGGCATCAATTTGATGTGACTGGCCGTCAATAAGATGAGATGCGGGTCGGTCAAGCTCGCCGATATTGAAATAAAGACAAGCAACTGCATCTACACAGATTATACATGTTTCTCCTGTATAAGGAAACAGTGTGTGTTTGTAGCAATATTTTTTAGAAAAAGGTTTTGTTTGTTGAGTTTTAATGTAAAGTAAAGTACAAAGTTAGTTACAATTTGATATTATAAAGAGGTAAAATTTATTATCTGTAAGTACTAGTATCTTCTTCTTATATATAAAAATGGATCGCAAAATGCGTTGTAAGCGCATAACTCAACAACGCCTGGACCAATCTTGCTAATTCTTTTTTTTGTTGTGTTTGTTATTGTCAGGAGAAGGTTCTTATCAAAGAAAATATTATTAGAAAAGAAGAGGGGAAGTTTAGGAAAAAGTGACCCTTTGATAGCGAGATAGTTGGACCCGTGCGAAGCGGGGGCGGGCCGCTACTAGGCTATATAAATTTACGCTACGATTTATAGGAGCCGATTAAAACCGCGTGAGAGTAGCTAGTTGTAAATATAATAATTATAATACGCAAAACACTTTAAAATTCCTTTACAGATAACGAGGTCATGTTAAAAAACTAAAAATGAAAATTGTATTAAAGAAAACCCCTATGAAGTTGTTTCTATTTAGATATATTTAATTTAAAGTAATACATAATTATATATGGCGGTAAAATGAGAAATCATAATGTTATTTTTTAAATTAGGTACATCTGCTCCGTGGCAGGCAAATACAGGTTTTTTCTTAATTTTTAATCTTTCTAGTTAAGTTCCACCTGTTGGCACGTGAACAGCTTGACATTTTGATATTTGTATAATTTTTTGTTAATTCACAAAGATATCACGTTACCTTTTTTCTTTGCGTATAAAAGGTATGTTATGTTTTCCTTTGGATACAAAAAAATATGCTTAGAATTAAAGATAAAACGCTTTTTGGAATGAGTGGAAACATTACTCAGTATAATTTCTGATATCAAAGTTTGTAGGTATTATTTCAAATACAAGGGATTATCATTTTTATTATACTGAGCATAGAAGCTACTTGTCATGCTTGAAGATATGATATTTAATAAGGATTTTTTATCATAAGTATTATGCGGATAAATACAAACCTAGACTTAACTAGCCTAACCTAACCAGGGTATTCGAGTCATGTTTTTATTACAATTGTAATAGGCTACTTCTACTAGTTATTATCATCAAATAGTTTTGATACCTATATTTATTTATTCAACTTTGTAAATATAATTAACATAGTTTAGCATAATTATGATGAGTCATAGAACAAAAACAAAACACTATTGCGTAAAATATATTATTACGATCAATAGAAAATCTAAATTATATACTAACTATGAAAGATTAAATTACTCTCATCGGACTGTGTTAAAGCAAATGTGAATAATAATGGAAAAGTGCTTAGTGGAAACCCCTTTGCAAGCCTCAAATGCAAATCAAAATGAACTTAAATAACAAAACAATAGGTACGTTAATTGATCAGAGTTAGTTGCAATCTGTAACTTAGACCTGACATGTTACATAGCAGGCACAATTAACTAGATCTCGAGTGCCCGTATTCGGGATTTCAGATCTCAATATTGACGGATCCCGTCGAATTTCGACCTTAGCTGACGGCGTTACTAATCTCTAACGCGTCACGCTCCAACTTCGGGAATCAAATTGTACATCAAACTTCAGCTTTCGTGTTTCGGGAATTGATAGAGTTGGCAAATATTCGATTAGACGGACCAAATCGATTATAAAATTGAATCTAAACGTCGCTTTGACCAAATGTATTCACATTTTCGACCGTACACAGTTTTAATCTAATAATTTTAATAACATTTCACTGTGAACCGCGGAACTAGTAGCCAGGGTTTTTAAAGTGAAAAATAAAAATAGCTTTCAAGGGATGAAGTTAACGTGTGCTAACCCAATTTTGTGCTGGCGAGTGACCGCAGGCCAACAGTTAGTCTATCTTTAAACATTTCCACGCTCGTGTTACTGAAAAATATTTTGGGCCTGTGCTCCGGCCTGACCCGACCATAATTATATTAGTCGAGCTTTGAACCCTACCAAAATGGTTCAACAGATTAAAAATGTGTAAATAATAATCCAGATACCGATTACTGAAGTCGTTTGATGTGTTTACTTAGTTACTACTTAGGTAGAATTTTGAACACGAAAATCGATACTAATATATTCTAGAGTAGTCACCTTGACCCAATGTGTTACTGTCATTGAAATGATTATGAATGTTATACCACAACAGCTTCGTTTGCTATATCTACTTGTTACATATACTTAGGTATATAAACACGCTAGATGGTGACATAAGACGTATTTATACGTTGACACATAGTTGAATAAAAAATGGTGAAGTGATGGAAGGTTGTTTATGTGTGTATGATTCATTAAGTAATGAAGTACTAAGTACAATATAGTACATTTAGAGTTGCAACTCCTCGTGAATAAAGGTTGCGCCAGCTAGACGAATCAAATTACCTTGGAGCATTCAAATTATGCCTTTGTCGATGTTGCACGGTAAGGCACAGGAAAGTCCTCGATACACCGTAGTACCCGGGTAAAGTTTTAAATGAACAAACAATACAATCCGATTTCTTCAACGCTGCACTTGGCTCCGGCGGCCTGCGCAATATATTGAACAATAAACGCGGACCGTTCTGCAATTCGTTTCGCTCACAGTCGTCCGCGAGCCAGTCCAAAGTGCGAGTCACATAAATGATACTGCAGCATAACATGCGTGCTGGCTGACCACTAGCACAACTACTAAATGAATGAATACTCT